CTCCCATGTGAACTTTTGATGTTTGTCTGCCGGTGTTCTGCCAAAAACAAGTATATATAGGCGTGGCTCATACTGTAATCCTTTTAGAATCGATCTGGCCGTTGCCCCGATGTTCACCCATGCCAAAAATATAAACAAGGCGGGCAAAACTCGATGCGGTGGTAGTATGACTGACTGGAGAGCTCTCTCTCTCGCGCTTTTTTTATCTCCTTGTTTTTTGCTGGGCTTAGCTCTCGTTCAGCTCGGCACTTTGGGTACGACTGAGATCGGCAAGAGGCTCATGAGGGACAACCCCACCCCGGTGATGTGCTATAAACCTGCGAGTTATTTAAATTAATAGCAAACATTGTTACTACTAGTAAGGCACCTGTTACTACTAGCGTGGCACTTGTTACTAGTAGCTTCTTGTTTCTACTCACGTTTCAGCCTATGATATTGAGCGCTAAATAAATTGCAGGCATTACCGCAGAACCATGCATAGTCCATGCACTCGTCGCTATAGGCAAGCAGCAGTAAGAAAAATGACCACCTGAAACCCAATCCACACACGGTCACAGCAAGGCCTCTACATTGATGTCCCTGTACGAAAACCGGAAGGGTCGCGTGTCCTGGCACCGTTCATCGGTCAAATCTTCCTTTTTGTACTCAGGGCGGAGGGGATTGAAATCATAAACGGCTAAGCGCAAGGAGGCACTCTCCTCTTAGCCTTAGTCGCAAAGAATGTTTTCGTTTGAACTTGAAAGTGGGTTTCAATGACGACCCGACGTCTTTGGCCACCTGAAGGGGTGACTGCATGAGTGGCTGCAAGTCACAAAAACATGGCGAGTCCCTTACACACCGCCCCTGCGCAGAACCGCTGGTATCCTCCAGTTGTTTGAGAAATAGGTCCAGGCGCGTGGCTCACATCAGTGACTATGTTTAAGGAAAATATTCATCCATAGTTTTGCTGACATCAAGAAACTTTTGTGCTCATTGATGTTCCAGGCCTTTTGCTTGGGTAATCTTTGAAGTCGTTTTCCAGAGCTTCTCATATCACGCGCAATCAAGACATGTCAAGTATGGCCTACACACAGAAACAATTGGACATTCATTGTTCACACCTCCATCCAAACCTGCACATACAAATCTTCGCACTTAACTTTTCCATATCAAGCCCTGGTTCAATCTAGAGACGTGCACACAAAGGGGCCAAAGATGGTCAGAGAATGTCAAGCCTTTATGCGGCAGCATAAAACATCTATTCCGATCATTGTGCCATTGACAAGTGCAAACGCAAACTAATCTGGGGGTCTGTCACCTCTTCCACCCCACCGGGATTATTTTATGGAGCTTCGTTCCACTCAGAAGGCCAAACTTCCCAGAACTAAAGGGGAACGAGGTAGAAGGAAGAAAGAACAGCAGGCCAACACCCCCTGGAACAAAAGATCAAGCCAACGGAAATGGGTTAGTGGGGTATGAAGATCCAGGCACATCCAGGCGGACCTGACGCTGGGGAATTAATCTCGGGGCCTCACCAGGACTAGGATTTGGGATCATAAACAGAAGCAACAAAATAGTATGTTCACAGTTTATGTCAGTCCGTGGGAGTGCTAATTTCCCAATCTCCTCCAGCGGCTGATGATCAACAGCTCGCCGGGTCAGCTGGCCGGACATGCCAGTGTTGCCTGGCACATCAGGCAAACAGTGGAGCTATGTAAACACATAGGGAGAAATCCAAATGCCCCAAAATTGGAAGGCAAAGTCAAAGACTGATGCGAAAATGCAAAAGCACATGTAAAAATACCTGGAGCTTCGGTTTGGGCGTCGGGCTCGGCAGCACCTCCGCCGCCCCAAAAGTGCCAGAGTTCGGAGGCGTCACTTGGAGCAGCTTCCACCTGGCCAAACCAGGTTGTTGCTGGGAACCCCTGCTTGGCAGTTGCAAGGGTTACACGGTTACACTTGTCTACACTATATAGTCATCGGTGGCCACTGTAACACAGCATCAAACCTCCTGAGTTAGATACACCCAGCGACATAGACGCTCTCTCCCTCTTAATGTAGTCTATAATATTATACAAAATAAAGAGATCGATCTAACTACACGAACTACACCTTCAAGAAGGGCCAAGAAATTAAGGGGCCGAGAGGCGGCAGTTGTGGCGCACCTTTTTCCGAGCCCGCTGCTGTTGGCCCGCCAATAGAAGACGTGGTCAGGCGCCAACGACACCACTTGGCCGGCGCGGTGCTGCAGTACAGCTTCGATGACGCCAGGATGCCTAGGACACGAAGAGGAACGCAGGTGATGTTTCTCAAGTCAAATCACCTGCAGATTCACCACCAAAGTCAGAACCCCTAAGGCCCTAAGCCATACCAATGTTCTTCAAACGTTCAACTCCAATTCGTGCCAAGGCACAACAGGGTAAATAAAACATTCGGTCCAAGCCTGTGCAAACTACAAGCTTCAAGAGTAGATGGCGCCAGCGCAGTCTCCAAATATTAACAAGCCTATGTGAACCTTCTCAAGGGGTATGCCATGATATGCCATCTACTCTGGAAGTTGAGTGTGAGCGTCTTCTTCTTCCCAGCGGCTCCCAGGAGAAGTCGTGGCCCACCAGCAGCTCCGGGCCCGTCCGACTCGTGGCTCCGTCGCCACCGTCCCAGGCCTCCAAATCCTGCACGACAGCCTCGTAGGAATGGTCGCCGTCGAGGAAAACGCAGTCCACCTGTAGAGGTGGCTTCGTGGATGTGGGATGAGTATGTTATGCGTTCTTTGTTCTTCTCCCCCTCGGTGGATGGTTGTCATATGTTGTCGTACTATGTGGGCGGATGTTCTGCCTGAGCGAGGCAAGGCCAAAGAGTTGGTCAAGGATCTCGCACAACAGATCCTCAGTAACCAGTATTTCCCACCAACACAGTGTAGTTTGAGTTCAGAGGGGCGGCTTGTCGAAAATGTGTTATATTGGTATATCTATGTATATATATATATATGTATTTATATACACATCTGTAAAAGTTACTTTTTTTGATTTAGTAATTTACACGTCTACATCTGGTCAGTCTGCGACGTGGTGTGGCCGATCAGGGGGCGTTGTTGCTCAATCCAAGTTGTAGACTCATGAATGCGGGGCCCTCCCACCACACAAACCCCCCCCGGCCAGGGCTTGTGTCATGGCTTTTCCCGCTCTTACCAGATTAATGAACAACTTAAGTAACCATTCGAACGAACAACCGCAATCAAAGACACAAAAAAACTAGCCAATTGATACAATTGAGGAAGCAAATAATAAAACAATCCATGCAAAGGATGGCCAACTGGGTGAACTGAACTCAGCCCCTTTCCTTTAGAACCTCTAACTACAGTAATCGATTTGTCTGACGAGGCTGCCCCTCCAACCCGCATGGAAGTACTGAAGTAACGCAGTTCAGGATCCCCTCGTTTACTCACGGAGGTGGTGCCGACTTCCTCAAGACCACCAAAGCCTGCAATCATCTGCAATCTATGTTTCAAGACCACCACATTACCAGGTGATCGACCAGTTTTGATTACTTTTGACCTCGCCGGCTTTTTCCAATCTGGCTTTTACACAAACTGTCTGAAAAGCCGTTTCATCGTCAATATCCTTGCAGCAATGTGTGGCATGTGTACTTCACACGCCTGACCCGTAGCCCAAAGAAGAAAAAAAAAACAAACCATGACAATCTATGAATGAATCTGTCGGCGTTCTATCATGGTTGCCCTCACGGTAGCAAAATGCCACAGCGAAAGCCAAGAAACCAACAATAACCACGAAATGAACAAACAAATGGAAATAGGGAAATGGGAGAGTGAATAGTACGAGTATCTAAAAGTGGTGCTGGTGATGCCAATGCCAATCGCTACACTTCATTAAGAACACCATCAGCAACACTTCATTAAGAAATTTAGCTTGCCAGCGCATCACCATTCATTGCATGCGAAGCCGCATGCTGGGAGCGTAGTTGATCAGCAGCATCTCGGCTGTCCATCTTGACCTGGTCACGTGATCGAGCAAAAGAAGTAAACGATGTCAACATGTCAACAAATAAGCACTAGACTGAGCAGACCCAGCTCCTTGGATCCTTGACCCTATAGGCTGAAGACTTAGGCCTGTTGGTTTGGACACACTGCAAGCTGTTGTCTCGCGAAGCGCAAATGCCAAGCGAGTGGCCAAACGCGCCCTGGAAGCAAAGGTGGGGAGCGCTTGCAAGAGCTCGTCTGGTGGCTCATTGTCAACCTCCAGTGGTGGGGTAAGGAATTGCCAACACCAGTGGGAGAAGCCGTGAAGGTTGAACACAGGTCTGTCCCAAGAGTTTGGAATCAACTGTTCCTAAATAGGCCCAAGGCATTCCAATCAAGACGTGTTGCACGACATGGCACCACCAAAATCATCCAGTTCTTCTTTTTTCGTGTACCGCAAGAAGGCTTCTTTGAAACATTCTCCCAACAGTGGGTCTGCCTCTGAAAGCGGGGCAAGGCTGAATCTCCTTCATTAATCTTCATATCTTCATTACATACTCAATCCAATTCTACAGTACACATACCTCCATGTAGCTTCAAAAACCGTCATGTTAAACGGCAGCGCCAAGGCACCAGATATGCCTCCAGCCAAGGCAAGGCCTCCAGCAGAAAGAGTGCCGTCTGGCCTTTCGACACTCCCACTTCGACATAGACCAGCTTCTCTCGCCCAAGTTCCCGCTGCAAGTCCCGCAAGAGCCACAAAAGGATCCTGTAGCGCTCACAACAGGCGTTCCTCAATGGCCAGTGGAGGAAGCACTGAGCGTTTCTTTTTTAGGGGGTAGAAGAGCCCAGAGGACACTCGGCTGAGATCTGCGAATGGAAGAGAGTGAACACTCCTGCTTCGAAGCGGTGCAGTAATTCTTGCCAGTTGCCAGTCTCACATAACAAATAAGTCTCAACAAATGTGGTATACCATGTCAACATCTTCAACATTGTTCGCTTCTGACAACCGTTTTGTGGACTGGGACCCGCCAGTCAACCACCACAAGCCTTTTGCCGAAAAGCACAAGCATTCTTAACCTAACCATATTCACAAACTACATAACTCTCAGAACAAATGTCTCAATCTTCACGAAGTTCAAATGGCCCGAGCTAACTCAAGACCAACCTAACCCATGTTATCCCATGTTCAGGTTCAAACATAATCTTTCAGATTTCCCTACCCAACTCGCAAATCACCTCCTTTCAACTTCCGCGGCCAAACACACCAACCCCATGAACTGCTGCGGTCATGATGCTGAAAAAGCGGTGGCTCCGCCACTCGCAGCATGGCCCTCTCACGGGCTGTTTGAAGCAAATAAGGGCCCATGGCCAAGAGGACCAGACTCTGAGAGAGGCGAGCAGTCCTCAAAGGGCGAACGAACAGTTGGGAGCCCTGTGCGGACACTCAGAAAGGTCTTTGTTTGATGGGCTGAGACAATCAGATGCTTTGGGAAGTTGGGACTGTGACGTGAAAGAACACCAATGGACGATTGGTAATTTCTTAACACCCGTTTAGTATCACCGGCGCTGTCGGCCTTGCGTTTTTTCCATGCCAGGGGTCTCGTGGCATAACTCCCAAACAGCTTGGGCTCGTCCCATTCGAGGCGCCTCCCAAATCTCGCGCACGCGCTGCACATGGGTCTGTAAGAAGGCTTCCAGGGTCACCTCTTCACCAAAAGCCGAGGGAGTGGGTGATCTGGCAATTGTCAAAGGCAAGGAAGGTATGTGCACCTCAGGAATATATCGCAGGAAAACGCAGGAAATCCAACCACCCCAAGACGAAGCTTCGGTGTTGGATCACGGAGTTTGCGCTATGTTTAATCAAGGCATTGAGCCTTCCAATGATTGAACATATCAACAGCATGTATCAGGTATCTATCCATTATCTATCAACTTATCTACCTATGTATGTGTGTACATTACAAATATATATATATATACATATAAGGCCACCGACTGAAACAGAAAAGGAGCGCAGAAACACACACATATTATATATATATACACATACACATACACATACACATGCGTGTCCGTGCATGGGTGTTTGTATGTGTGTTATCCCATATCCCACACTATCCCCAAAGCCCCAAAACTAGCTGGACTTGCAAATGGCCTGCCACAGCACTGCCGAAGCTCCTTCGCTACATGTACATAATCTACTTGTATTGAACCTGTGTTTTTTTTTGGGGGAGAGGCGCATCCAAGAATAGATCTCATTAAAGACACCTTCCAAAAGCACTGGAACTACCAGCAGAATTGAGTGGAAGGCTTTATTATCTTCATTTGGGGGGGTAGGCAGTGTAACAGCTAAGGCTATAGTTATATAGTTTTTTTAATGTATTCTCATATTGCAAAACGACACAGTGTGGGAGCCATCCAAAAAGCCAAGTCACGTGAAGCAAGGGTGGCATCACCGTCACCCACAACAACTCCCAACCTGAGAGCGCTTTCGACGGGCCACGCTTTCGACGGAACCTCATCTTCTGACCCCCACCGGTCTTCTGACCCGAGACACTGCGAGGAATGAGACACAGTGCTAGTAGCGTTCTTGCCCCTAGTAGCGAATGAAGAAGCTTCAACATGTTGAAGTTGAGACACTTCGACATCAAAAACACAAAATGCTTGGCTTATGCAGATATATGATATATGCAGATATGCATGCACCTCACACAAAGCACAAGACTTACATGATTTGGTGAATCTCAATTGGTGTACGTTAATTGCACTATCAACACCTGAATTTTGGCCTTCAATCGCGTAAATAATCCCCAAAACGTTAATGATAGTTAACGGCTATGCACTGACTGGGTAGGTTGCGCTTGTCGCGGGAGATGCCTCATGTTTTTAGTTGTTGTTTTTCCAGTGTCGCAGGGCAAGTCCAGCCCTCCACCCCAAATTCAGCACAAACCTCAGACCAAATAGTAAAACTTTCAGGACAAAGCCACCCGGCTCGACATCCATCGGACCTTCAGACCAGGCCATAACCTCCTGGTGACCATAGAGGTCTGCCCTGCCGTAGTACAGCAATTGAGAGGCCAGCCTGGCAAGGAACCAATAAACATGTCATGACCACATTTGCAATATATAAACACTTCTGATATTGCAGAAGGTTCACCTTCCATAACACAACTTAAAGTTTAGCTTAAATATAAGTTTATCATCCTCCAAAGAAAAAAGCTGTGAATATCTTGCAGCCCCCCAACACCACCATACATTCCTAAACGTACTTGGATAGGATCCCCAAACCTCACCTCCAACCCTTTTGAATGCCCGTTTTGTCCACCTCCGCGTGGCTGAGAAAGTGGCCCACAACTTTGGTATGGCCATGGACAGCTGCAAGAGCACCGCGGCATCTTTGGCATTGTAGGCGCTCTGCAGTGGCCCAAAGCCTTCCGCCAACTCCGACCGCAAGGCCTCTTCCACCTCAGAAGTTGATGCTTGGTGCAAACAAATGGTCCCTCCTTGACGCACTGGCCTGGTCTGTCGCAACACCTTTTGTTGTCACACTTCCAGTATATATGCATTTGGATGAACAAACCTGGCGACGTGGCATTCATTAGTCTGAGTGAGGCTATGCCTCCCCACTCGTGCACCATCTGAGCATGTGTCTTTGCATCATCTCACCGGTTCAGCTGGTGGCAGGTCTCACATGCCCTTATGCGGGACTGTTCCCTTCCCAACAAACCCAATCTGTCGCCCAGCGCCAATGAAACATGTTTTAAAACAAGTTCAAGAAGTGTGCTAGGCTCACCCTTCTGCTAGCCACCCTTCTCTACCTCCCTTGTAGCGGCCTTCCTTCCGAGCGGCGTCCACCGGCTCCCTCCAGCGATCAACGTCCGGCAGCGCACGGGCGGCAACGGTGCGGCCGTGCTCCACCGAGAGGCAACACATGAGGAAGGCCACGCCTGGGGTGTTTGCAGAATGTGGAATGAAGCAGGATGTTCAAAATTCACTCAAGTAAGTTGATTGGCCAAGGCGTTTACAACGTATTTGGGATCTCTCGCTCGCTCGCTTTTTTTTTCTCTCTCTCTCTCTCTAAACCTCCCGCATTTGGCATATGGGAGACGGCGGCGCAGTTGTTCCCAGGAACCCCTGCCCAGGCAGGAAAAACGGCATATCCGGTGATCACATCGCCCAACAGGGTCTTGTGCCTGAGATGGGTAATTTCAAACTTTCTATTGCAGTAAAAGTGTGGCCACTCCCAAAACCCTCGTCTCATGCGGCTTTCTTCCAACAAATTCTCAGTGTTTGTAAAGCATTGTGTCTCAGAATGAGTCTCAAGCCATGGATGGAATTATTGGAATTCTTCATCCATATTTCGCGGTACTTGATCTCGGCCCCAATTTGAAATGCATCTCCTGCGAGCATCCAAAGCCCACATGTGCCACCTTGAAATCGATTCTAGAACATCCTGCACTGGAATAGAATCCTTTCAGATAAATGTTGGGAAATTCTTGCAGTAGTTCAGTTGAACCTAACTCCGGCATTCTCCTAGTCACACTCGGCCCCTGCACACACAACACACACACAGGACTGGCGCCTACCATGGCCGGCGGCCAGCAGCGCCGCTGCACTTCTACGGAGGAGGCTTCAGGGCGAAAGCAACACGCATCCGGGCTGGCGCTCGGGCGCTGGGACCAACACCAGTCCTCAGGAGCTGGGGACGTGATAGGACCTGGGCCTGAGGAATATATAAGCAAGTTTGCCAAAGCTAGGTGAGTGAATGTGTTTAAACACCCGTTTCAGGCGCTTGCAATTTCATGCCTTTAAGGGCTGCATGGTAATTACAATAAGGCAAGGATTCCAGTGTCTATACTAATTCAACAATGAGTGAGCGAGAGGCAAACACAAAGGAAGGAAAGAGTGAGAGGGCCTGGGTGCCACCGACCCTCGGGGTGGAATGGCTCAAACCCCAAACCAGCACCCCTTCTGTTCGGGCTGGTGAACTGTTTGTTTAGAGGAGTGTGGGCTCTTGGGCCTGCTGTGCTTGGGCTGCAGCTTGGCATCGCGATGGTCACCATTCCACGAGTGCAAAGTCTCGCTCGCGGCCAGCGGAAGCAGCCACAGCGATGAGCGGCACGGGGCCATCACATGGCTGTCACCGGTTGAGGTAATTATCTGACTTCTCTCGGGGGCAAGTGACTTGGATCAACAGCCTTGATGAAGGCATAGTAACAAGTGCCACGCTAGTAGTAACAAGTGCCACGCTAGTAGTAACAAGTGCCTTACTACTAGTAACAAAAAGAAGGGCTTGTCAGGGATAGCGTGGCAAATTCAGCATGGGCAGGTCACACATAGGGTCACATCAGCATGAGCCCTTCGTGTCCGAACCAAAGCCCAAAGCCCCGTATATGATCTCCCCTGGTCTAGGTGCAACAAACGGACAGGTGCATGATTCAGTAGCAGGCCACCAATCCTGATCTGCTTGGACCCATCGCTGTTCCTTCTGCATTTGCAGAAGCATAGCCTTCGTTTGCACATCCACGGCCTTTATTTATATATACTGTATATATATATATATAAGTACCTTTGAATCACTTGGGTAATGCAGTGCACAGGACCTCACCGTTGCTGACCAAAGAACAGCCTTCGATGCATTGGCTGGATTCGTGCAAGCTCATGACATTGGGATCATGAAGGCTTGCAATGCAACGGGGCTAATTCAACAACTTTGGAGGACATCCTTTGGTTGGAGGTCTTGCTGGGAGCTTCCCAGATGACCAAAATTGTCGAGAATGGACATCGTGCCTTTTGTGAAGAACAACACCTCTAGCACTAGGAGCAGCCTCGGATGCAATGATGGACGGGTTGGCTTAATTATTTAAGCGCTTTCTTATATTCTTCTCTTCTGCCAAACATGTCCTGTTATGCTGACTATGCTGGCAGGCTCCAAATCGGGTGTCATATTTAGGATTTAGGCGTGCTCGCAGGAGGATGCTCCTATCGCTCCTAGCCACAAGTATTACAAGTTGATTTTGGGATGATGTTTTGGGGTTCTGTCCGTGGCCAGCGGAAATGCATCACTGCGCCTCAGGTGCCACTGCCAGTTGAGCTTCCTCCAGGAAGTCAACCAGGAAGCGCTTGGTGTCCGGAACGTGCGTGGTGCCTGGTAGACACAAATCGGCAGAACCACCACCATGGCGAGCATTCTGCGACTTCCAGGTTCCAAGAGGGTTTCGCCGTATCCTGGAAACACATCTCTTATTGTTGTAGCCCGTGCCGTTGTGGCTCGCTGTCTGTGTGTCTTGATATCCTCCTAGTTCCGGCCAGGGTCTGTGAGTAAGCTGCTCCATTCACGGATCTGTAACAGTAATTAACGTCACCCATTCTGCACGCCGCGCGGCAGATCCCCAAAAATACGCCTCGCGTGGTCCGGGCTCTTTTGTTTTTTTCGGGGGCTGGCGGTCGGGACGACAGCATGAAGCACTCACCCCCCAAACAAGATCAAAAAAGAACATACGGCTCTCATGCGGTAGCAAAACATAAAAAACACTACAAAGGCTCAACAAGGCCGTAGACCCAAGTGGCTTTGGAAGGCCGATTCGTCTAGAGAGATGATGAACTTACACCCGTTTGAAATGCCGGACGAGGAAACTGCACATAGAAACAAAATTGCCTGGAAGAATCTTGGACAATTGTGGCTACGCGGTGTTCTGTGCTGTGATCTCAAAACATCTCTTCACTTCAGGAGTGTTTGTCTAGAATATCTGGCAGAAGTATGTCCAAGCCATCTTGCTGGCAAAATCAAGACCTTCTTGTTTGCCGCACCTGCTGAAAACCCTATGTCAATGAGGCACACCTTTTTCTCCGTGCACCATTCACATATGACTTCGACTTCCTGCTTCGAGCTGAGGCACCAAGGGGGACCTGCTGAAAACATGCTCTGTTTGCTCGGTGCATGCTTCTTCATTACGCATCAAGAAACGATGGGTCAGGATTGCCGGAAGGACCTGTGTATTTCCTCGGGTGAGCCAAATACAAATCAAGCTCCCAGTGGGCTCCCAAAGGCGGCACAACATCTGGTTGACTCCCTTGATCCGTCTCGATCCTCTACTATTCCATAGTCAGCTGCAATTGGTTTACCATGGCTTACGACTGCTCGCAGAGTTCTCCTCAACGAAACCAGCTCCAAGACTCTGCGACCTGATGCCTTGGTGGGCCTTGCCCTTGTGGAGGTTTCACTGAGGTGAGATTTGTGCAACCGTGTGCAAACAAGAATTATAATGAATTGTGCAACTGTGCAATCATGATTTTTCATCATTTATCATCCATTACGAATCAAGAGTATATCCATGGGAGCCTTAACTTGAGATTTGCAGGAAGCCGCTGTCTAACGCGAAGGAACCTCGCTGGACAAATGTGAAGCTTACAAAGCGGCACCACAGGGCGCAGCACAAACATTGAAGGGGTTGTAACATGTTGTAACTTGGGGTCGCACGAATCGTCACAAGCAGGGTCCAACAAATAACGACAAACTTGTACATGTGGCCGGCCAATTCAATTAATGTCAGGGATGCCTTGTCATATCGCACCCTTTGCGGGATCTCCCCAATACATAAGTCGAACGAAAACTGAAGGGTCGGGCATTTTGGGCTGAATCCCATGTTGCATTGCGGTCCTCGTGGAAGATCCATTACTACTCATCAAAAGCTTCATCGCTTCACTCCATAACGAATTGGCCGCTTGCTGCGACGAGCCCGATGCGCGAGGAGCATCTCGGGTGTCAGTGCAAGCAGCGAAAGGCTTGTGCACGCTTCAGGCGCCAAACCCGCCAAACCGGACTCCGTGGCGCCTTGGCCTGGCGACAGGGAATTTATATAATCTTCGACGATGAAAGCCATCCTGCGGGATCCAAGGTGCTTGGGGCAAGAAGCCCAACAAGCCAGATGTTGCATTTAGTTTAGATACTCGCTCGAAGCCGCCAATTAATGATGTATCAATATGTATCTACAGTTTGCCGTTCCCAAACACCCTCCACCGGCGACACAGCAGTCCTGCGGTTTCCTCTGGCATTTCAGAATTTCATCCTGCAGCAGATGACTGCAGATGGAGGTCTCACAGTCATTCTTCTGATCACTTATATAAATTGTCGGAAAGGAAGGAAAACAGGTCAGAATAAAAGGCACCAAAATAAAGGATAAGTTCTAGCTCTGTGCCACAACAACTTGTCCCTCAGCAGTTGGTGCAGCCAGGCAAATCGACAAACATGAGCGGGAGGATTACAGAAAACACTGGAGGACATTTTGGAACAGCAAATGCTCCAAAGTGGCTGTCAACATCTTTCCACATCCACACCAAGGTCTCCCTGAACATGTGTGACTCTATTGATGTGACTGCAGCTTCTGGGGTTGGACCCACTTGCAAAGCTCGTCCATCTCCAGTCTATTCTCGGGTTCATTGCCCCGGGTTGCTTCCCCATAAGCACCAATCATCGGCCAACAACGGAAACACACCCAGGACCCAACCACTTAGCCAGCCAGGACCTGCCTTGGCAGAGTGGCACCTGGAAAACACTGGAAAACCATTCTCCTTCCCGAACACTCAGTCCATTGTGATCAGTGCTGGTCATCCGTCACTCCGCTCCTGCAAACCACCGGACCACGGAGCTGAACCTGCGTCCGCAAGGCTCACGGAGCTAGATTGTGACGGGTATGGCGGGTATGGATGGGTGGATGGTTTGAAGAATCCCTGGTCATGTGGATGAGTTGGATGGGAACTTGTTGCATGCCAATGCACTTCCTGACAATCCGATATGCTCGCATGGGTCATGGGTCGTTGGCATTTCGTGCAGGTTGTCGAGGCATGGACAAAGAATGTGACGTGACCGGTTCAACTGGGTTATGTCCAAAGGGTCTGTCCATCTCAATTGAGAGTTCCCGCACTCCAGCTTTGACCCCTACCCATAGGTACTCAAGTGCAGGGTGGCTCGTTGAAAGGCTCAAGGGCCCGTGACTCAGCGGAATGCAGATCGGGATGATTAGGACACCTTCAGATTCTGCCCTGAGGACGTTTTTTTCTTGCCAGGTCTTTCACTGATTCACCTATAGGTAGTGCACAATTATTCAAGTACATATCTCTGTAAGATTCTATATGGGTATGTGTGTGTACGCGCCGCTACTGAGTGTACATATCTCCTCACCTCTCAAAAACCCACCAAATCTTTTGCCCAAGCGGCGGCCCCTCTTCTGTGCTGGATCCATCCTTTGGTCTCATCTGAGCCTCGGACGCGCCGATCGACATGGCCGTGGTGAGTGGAGCCGGGACCATTGGGAGCAGCCGGAGTCGCTCGTCTGAATAAAGTAAAAACATGTAAAAACCATGTGCTCAGTTCATCTACAGTAAGTCATATTGGCCACTGCCCCCTGATGCGTTTTGAGTGGTTCAAGCCAAGGCCCGACTTGACCTACTCGCTGTGCAACTTGCACGGGAGACGTTTTTGGCTGGGCAGCAGAACCACTGCATTCCACCCACAACACAAGCAAAACCCTGACCTTTCACATCGGCAGGCCCTAGCTTCTTGTTACTAGTTGCGATGGCCTCCAACCTAATAGCGATGGCCTCCACCTAGTAGTTTCTTGTTCCTAGCAGTAATGCCCTTGTTACTAGTAGCTTCTTGCTACTAGTAGTAACGCCAGGAGCTACTAGTAGCTTCTTGTTACTAGTAGCGATGTCTGACCTTTCACATCGGCAGGCCCTAGGTTCCGCACATGATATCTACTCCGCCACACATCTTCGGGCTCTCGCCACTGCGCGTCCTGTTAACCGCTGCAACAGGGCTTGAACTACAAGAATCACGATCCTCAAATCTCATGAGCCGCCAAGGCTTCTCCATTGAATCATCGACCCATCCAAACCCTTGAGGTAAATGTGCAAATCACACCAAGTATCATGGTTTCACCATGTTTTATCTGTGCCCCCTATGCCCCCTTGTGGTGAGTGCTCTAAGAAACTGCACCATGCCCCACGACGCAGGGTGACATTCTTCTGGATCTACTAATCTACGATATCGTTGGTTCGTCGCTCGTTGGTTCCTCGTAGACACCTGCAAAGCCCGCCGCGCCCACAGGCTCATCCTAGGTGCCGAAGAAGCTAGCAAAGAACGACTGCGTATTCGTTTCCAAATATGGGAGAGAAACAATAAGCTACTAGGAACAAGTGCATCGCTTCTAGTAACAAGTGCCTTACTAGTAGTAACAAGAAGCAGCTACTAGGAACAAGTGCATCGGAGAGAGGGATCTTGCTTTGCTGGATCATTCGCGTCCGTTCGTAGGCCAGCCAGCTGGCTCGCTCTCATGTCCAAAGCTGAAACTGATTGGAAATGCCTGACGGGGAGGACCTAGCGTGTGACTTCCGAGTGGATTGCACAAACTTGTAGAGGTGGCCAATCCATAGGCACTATGTTGATGTGTCCCGCTCAGACCCAGTCATCCTGTTTGAACAAAGTAGCTGGCACAAACAAAAATATGGGCATATATGGGCCCTGCAAATCCAGATATTGTATATGTATATATACAAATCTCCGGAGCCCCTGAAATCCAGCACCTTCAAAGTTACCTTTCTATATACCAGGATGAGGTCACTTAGGCCAGCAAAAGGTCACTTAGAGACTCCAAAGAGGTCACTTTGAAGGTCCTGGTATACACATCATGTTACATTGAGTCTTTATATATACATAGACATTGAGTCTATATATATATATATATAAGCTTCCCGGATCGAGACGGCTCCAAATGAAATCGTCCAGGCTAAAGGATATCCTATAATTCCTATATCCTTATCTTGAGCCTGTCCTATTACCAGGGACAGTGGATGATGATGGTTCAGTTGCAGGACTCGCTCGAAAATAGATGAACATAGTGATAACTGTTGATTGACGATTACAGGCCATAGGACAAACCCAATCCTTATCCTCCTTTTGCCCATCCACGGCTGCAAAAGCTTTCTTTTCACGATCGCTGAGGAGGAGGACCGCGTAGGCAGGCCGAATCCTTTGGGGATCAACATCTGTCTTTGACAGCCTCCGGTTGCCCAATGGCAACCACAATGTGGGCGTGCCCAAGTGGTGGAGCCAACTCCTGAGGTACACCAATCCAAGAGGGTCCCAACATATCCCAACCATCATGGAGGCATGCTCCACTACGTGAACAGAGGCTCATCAGTTGAATTAGCACGACTTCCTAAACCCCCTCCGCGCTGCATTTTGGACAACTGTGCAACAACCTGTCGAGCAAGGAGAGAGAGACTGTGAGAGACTTACCTCATCTCTGCATGCTGACGCGTTTAGTGAAATGGCATGCATGCCCTAGCAATCCATTCGCACGTTTTCTCTGAACATGACCATCTACAGTATAAATTTCTATACAGCAATGTTTGCCGATCTTTCGAGCATTTAGTACTTATGACTTATCACCCTAGAGTGCATGGAGGTAGATTCTGAGGAATGAGTGTGCCAAAGCTTTGTCCATTTCGTCGCGTCCGGGGAAGTCGGATCGCTGCGGCTTTCGCCGCAGAAGCGAAGTAAAGAAGTACATGCCCGGTCCCACCGGTCGCACGAGTGTCTGGAGCCGTGGTGTGGTAGAATTGAACCTTTGGAGGAATTGAAGCAACACTCATACAAGGGCATCAAGGCGAGGGCGAAGCAGCATCCAGTCACAAAGCGGCAAGGGTTGGACCGTAGCTGGTTCAAGGAACCTACTTTCCACATGATCTGCGTGATCGCGGTTCCTGACCACTCAGGGCCCTCTTCAAGCGCGAGCATCTTAGCAGCTACAGTAGGAGATGGTACTGGCTAAGGACATCACCTCAAGAGCCTCCTCCGAACCGCAAAGAAACCATGGATGATATCTGGCTGAACATGATTGAACTACATTCCAGGAATTGCTTCCAGAAAGTGATCCCAGGGCCAATCGCATGCCAAAGCTTGGACAATCACCCTGCCTTTTTCATCTCAGCCTGCCTAGCAACCCCAGCAGTAGCTTTTGCCAAAGCGAGCTCCCCGATTTCTTCACTGGCGTCCTCCATAGTCCACGACTACTACAACATACTACAACTATTGAGGCATTTTCTGGGACAAGCCCTTCTCCACGGTCGCCAGTGCTGGTGCATCCCAAAATTATGGAATTATAGGATGGACTCACTGTTGATTGATGGGATAGCTCCACCATATCCAACTTTTGCCTAGTGCAACTGTTGAAAGTGAGTATCATAGAGCATTCCTCTTTCCTGCGCCAGACAACAGTCTGCCTTAGCTAAAGTCAGTCGCTCTGTCGAGGATCCTTCCCAATTAGCAAAGACTCACCTCTCCTTTGGAGAGGCTAGCGCTGGCGGGTCATCCAAATGGTTGTGGGGCACGCTGCCAAAACGATCTAGCACAATGGCACAATGGACGGCAAACTAAACACCCGCTACTACGGTTACCCAATAGGCACAAGCCACACTTTGAGACACCAGTTCTTCTATGTTCTTCTTCTACTCTACCACAGTTCGCAGTGGTTTCTTGACCCCATCAGCCATCTGCCGAGGGTTTCTAATCCTCTTCTCCAGACTCCTCCGGCAGCTCTGTTAGCTCTGCGAGCTGTGCTTCTCCCTCCAGCTCCTCACGTCTCTTCCACTCCGCCGCGTTCTGCCAGGCCACCAACAAGTGATGGGCTTTGGCTCCTGGAGAGGTACTCTGCTTAGATCCAATCGTCTCTTCAGGGCTCCAAACCTAGAGCACTTCAGGGATCTTGTGAGGGGTTCTCTGTCAAAGCTTGCCAGTGTACTACTCAGTAGGCCTGCCTTTCATGAAACCCATCCAAGCTGCGCAGCTGAAGATGGTTTTCTCATGCGAGCCAGCAATGCACATATGCAAAGAATGCCTAAACAACAAACAACATTTCAAGCATCACAATTTTGCGATTGCAATATGAGTCTCGTGCTCTCTAAAACAACCTCATTCAACGCGCGCTGTCACGGTCCTGCGTAGTCCACAGCCCTGTTACCGTGTTTGTCCACCAGCTCCTGGCTAAAGCGAAAGTGTTCCAAAACGGTTTACTTATACATATATACACACATACATATATATATATATATATTACAAATTTGCCTGGTCAAATTGCTTCGCTTCCAAGTTCAAACTCAGATGCACATGTCCCTTGGTTGAATCAAACATGCGCCCATGAAAGCAGTGCAGTGACTCTATTTGTTCTCTTCACGGGCCTGTGAGATGTAAACGCTATGATGGCAAAGTGCAAATCCTTTGATTGCATCACAAAAGTCCCCTCACCGCCTCATCATCTCAACGCCAGCCAATGCCGCCGTGATGGTGGTAATAGGTCGTTCCATGTCCCCAACCACCTCTGGGTCCATAAGGGTTGCGGTGATAGTATGTCGTGCCATATCCGGGACCACCTCTCCAGCCAACGGGATTGTGGTGATAATATCCATATCCGGGGCCGCCCCTCCAACCAGGAGGGTTGTAGCGGTACCATTTGCCCTCTTCTTCAGACTTGGCACTCTCACCACGGTCCTCTTTTGCGCTCTTGACTTGCAGCAGTTCGAGGGAAGTATCTGCTTCCTGCTGCTGAAGAGCAGCACTCACGTCATCCGCACAGCTTTCAGCAGTCTCAGCCCTGGAACATAAGAACTGCATCAGCAGCATTGCCACGAACACAGCTCGCATGGTCCCAAAAGGAGTCGCAGAGGGGCAAAGGGGTTTCTGATGCCCGACCACTTGTGGGTACAGATTGAGCTCACAGCACGACAAAAAACATTGCACAACATGCATGTCTCCTCTGATTTGGCCTTTAAGCTCTTCCCATCGCCCTAGCAACAAGCAACTCGCAAAAACATTGCCAGGGGTGCCAAATCCGCCTGCGCTTCCAGCAGCAGGTCCATGACCTGGGAGGTTTGTCTGCCACAACACGACTGGTTGACAGGTTGACAGATTGATCTGTAGCTGGCGGCGCTCGTGATTGGGATGTTGGCACGGAGTAAGGCATAGTAATAAATACAACGGGAAGTTTTTGTTCAAATCCTTTACGTCCTTGTAAAATTTAGACCTATAGGTTCGCAGTAGAGAATGTGGGTCCATCCACCATTCTCTTGCACCCCGTCAGATGCTTCCTCCGGAAATATAATGCCCGAGTGGCGGATGGTAGGTGCGAAACCTTGTTGATGTAGTCCACCTGCCGTCCCCAACGTACCGCTGACACTTCTGAGCACAAACACACCAAACCCCAACACAGGCATGCCGAGACCCGGTTGGGAAAGCGCAGAATGACAAGTGTTTTTCTATCTCTCTGTGCTGGCGGGATCATGTGTGTGTGTGCCACCTCCTGTCCCCAAGGAGAACGACCACATCGTCTAGGTAGAATTCATATTTTATCCTTTAATCCGTTGCCGTGTGCAGACCTGCAGGGGGACACAGCACTTCACTGGGACTGTGTCCTATGAAGCTACCAGTGAAATGGGATATCCAGCTTGGCCAGCTCGATGTACCTGCGCTCTTGCTTTCGAATGGTGTTTCTAAGTAGGGCTTAAGCTGTCTCCTTCGGTGCTTTGCAGTAAAGTGCTAATGCAGTAACTAACTTGTGGTTCTAAGTAGAGCTTAAGCTGTCTCCTTCCGTGTTTTGCAGTAAAGTGCTAATGCAGTAACTAGCTTCCGGGAATTCTAAAACTGATAGAGCTCTTGCGAGCATGGATCGAAGTGTGTGGGATTTTTCCCAAGACCCTCTGGCCAAACCATTTCGAAGCTTTTGGAAATGCGGGTGTTCATCTCACTGGAGCTGCGACGCCTTGCTAAAGACGGGTCTTGACTCTGAGATTCTATGGCCAAGGATTTTGCAAATATGGGCAGTAGAAAAATATAGAGCAAGAACATTGGATTAATCAAATCCAGCACTTCCTGCACTTGGAGATGAACCCCTTCCTCATTCCCAAAGACTTCCTCGTTCCCTATCTGTTCTATCTACGCCAGAAAAGGCCCATCCGAGGGCGGACAGTCGACGGTCACGCCCGGCCATGGCAGCGTAGTTGTGGCGCGGGCGGATCGTGGCATTCTTCTTGGTCGCGTAGATCATTGCGCTCTGTCCATCTGCGGCCGGTCCCGGTTGCAAGGTCTACAGGCAAAAATTGGGGTTGGGGATATAGGGATGTCCGGGTGTACTGGCAATCTCCTGGATCATGGGATCTGTGAAGGAGCGAAACTAATTACACAAGCTGAGTAACATCCAGCGATATCGAGTCAATCCAAACAGGCTGCATAGATTTTATGGATGGATGAAACTGAGAGTTTGAACTCTTGTGGGTTGAACACAGTCGTTCGCGAGGTGCTTCAATTGCCCTACCACCCAAATGGAGGCACTTGGACGGGACCAGGGCACCTCGGTCCTGAAGATTCACGTCAGCCTTGTACTTCAAGAGCACCTTGTGAAGGATTCTGCTGAAAAATCTGGAGGTCAAGGTTTTCAAGGCAGGAGTTTCTTTATTCGACAAACCAATCGTCGAAACGCAATGAGAATCACAGAGTTTCACAAAACGCGTTTTCACAAAGGGGATTGGCCAGTATGGTCACATCATGCAGGCCCTGATATGCTGCCTCAAGGTGGCCCGTGATGCTTTGCCAAAACCAATCAATGCACCCGCAAAATGGAGAGATTTAACAAGAACGATACACTGCGGAACCATGAAGAATCACCTGTTCAATCAGTAGCTTCTGCCCCACCTGCACTGCATCCGTGTGGTTCTCCTCCGCTGCGCACATCAACCCAGTCATGCCACTACGCATCTGGCGGGGCCGAGCGGCCGTGTGCTGCGGCAAATAAGAGCCTCTGCCATTTGAAGAGGCCGGTTGGAAGGATATATAGAGGCTTGGAACTCCATGGAGCTCTCTGTCTATCATCCCAGGTTTGCTTTCAAGTTACCGTCACTATCCATCACCTGCTCTTGAGTTTAACTTGACCAAGTTTGAGAACCTGGCATGTTTGTCCCGCCCAAACACCTCCGAGAAAGTAACAGCAAGACAAACAAAACAAATAGTTAAAAAATAATCAAAACACAAACGCAGTATTAGTTCGTCCTTGCAATGGTCTGACACTGAGGCACAACTTGGTTGGCCCCAAAACCAGTAAAAACCAGTCGAGGTCCCCTTAGACCGTCCGAGCATTGACCGGTCTTTGCCTGGACGTTCACATCCGCCGCCCCCTCCAGAAGCACCTGAGCAAGGTTAACGATCAGAAAATATGTTTTCCTGCAACCTGGCAGGCCGGCCGTAGAATGTCACGGTTATCTGTATAGTGGCCGGTTGATGGGTGTTGTTTAGAAGATTTTAGAAGGCCTCCCTATTAATTACAGAAAAACGTTCTGATGGTTCTAGTGGTGCGGCCAATGGAGTTTGAAAGTGATCGCCTGGCATATCAAGAGCTGATCATGATCATGCAAAACGAGACCAATTTTGTATGGTTTCACCATGAGGCCCCATCGCTTCGAAAAGGGTGAACTACCTCATGCTACCTCAAACAGTCTGCAACATGATGCTGCATTATATCATATCACAGCTTTCCAACACTCTGTGTCACGGTGGGCATTCTATGAACATTGAAATGTCGTTGTTTTCAAAGATCCAATTGAGTTGCGGAATCACCTTGATCGCTCCCTGAGCGTCTGGTTTTTTCACAGTGCCACCATGGCGGATAAAGAAACAATGATCCAACATCGCTTCAATTTTTTGGTGGACGATCCCCATCCCAGCGGTCCAGTGCCTTCAGTGTCTTCGCTGCACCACTCCTGGCGCAGTAGGTCCACTGCAAAATCGATTCTCTGATGACTTGTTCGTGGGGGGCTCCCTTGCAGATCTTGTAGATTGTAGGGTTCCTGGTCCAGGGGCACTGGATAACGGCAGGGTGACCTTCCTCCAATCATTCGTAACTACTTCCCTACCAACAACTTCCCCCAGCTGCACATGAAGACCAACACCTGACCCAAGAAAACAATCTTATTGATTCTGATAAGTTTACAGTATCTAATATGTTTAATCTGTTCAGCCAATCGACCAAATTATCAGGTCCCGAAAGCGCCTGGCTGCCAGGAGAAGGGCGCACATCCCATGCCTTGAATGTGGAAAGGAAATCTGTGGAGAGAGACGGGTCTCGGTTGATCTGTGTCACAAAAAAACATCATCGAACGGCGAACGGTCCAGTCTTTAGGACCTTTCCATTTGTTTCAGGTGTGTTGCGTGCTTATGTGCGCTTCAAGTGTTCCGGCAACCCTGCAGTTGGATAGAGCATTCCGTTTGAACAATAATTATGACTTGGAAAGCGCACGCTATGTGGGCGTTGTGACTCGACCCAAAGTCAACTTGTGTCCTAAGGACTCCTGGCTTGTTCGATCATGGTATAGAACACTAAAAAAGACACAGGGTGTTGTTGGCTTGTCCTGCTTGCTTTGGGGCACCGTTGCACGCTCTTCGTCTCATGAAAGAAATATCTCCGAGCGTCTTGGAAAATGCCTCAGCGCTAGCCTGGCAGCACGGATCGTACGTATAGAATCGTGTAGCGTGTGTAGCTTCGGAAAGCATAAGAATGCATGTGGGATACCTGGTTTGCACCTGTTGCAGCATATGTTCTTGCTAGTTTGTTTCTTCTCTTCTGCTCATACTTACATCTGGTGTGTGTATACTCTATGAGGCCAGAGATCTGATATCTGCGAGGTAGCATGAAGCAACCAGGTCTAACAAGGCACGTTCTTCTTGGTACCACGTGTTGCCTTGAAGCGATTTGGGGACCTCCAGGACAGAGTGCCCAAAACAAATTTGCACCCCGTACCAAAGGACAAAGCGGAAGACAGACATACCAGCGCAAATGGATCTACCAACAGGCTTCGACCAAGCCGATCAAAGCTCATCCAAGCTGTGTGGTAATCCAACCCACAGAAACCTGACCCTCCCATTGTAAACCCAGAAGTGCTTTCACGTTCAAAAGGCGTGAGACTCCTCACCTGCCGCTTCTGACCCCCCCCGGCCTGGTTTTCCAGGAGCAGCTTGACAATCTCTTGCGCGTTGCCGTCCGCAGCGAACATCAAGGGCGTCACGCCGTGCTTGCCTGAAAACTAATATGGAGACACAGTTGCTGGGCATCACACGCAGTTGAATACACCATGCCACCATGTCATTCTGATTAAGACCTTGTCGAGAAAAGTCTTGTCGAAAACTCGTATCGTGCTGGTCATTGGAGCTACCACCCCAATCAATGGCAGGCCCATTTCCCAAAGCCAAAGTGCTAGCAGCGTTCACCAAGGCTTTCGCGTCCAGCAAACGCCGGGCCTAACACGGCTGACATCAAGACTCAAGAGTAGTGGGACTAGCCCGTCCAGGATGAACCTTTCTCAGGTAAACATGTCCCACCTAGGACGAACCAAGCTTTCTTCCCCACGAACCCGGCCTATACATATGTATAACTATATGTGTATATATAGATATATTAACAATGCCTCCGCCGGCCAATGCAACAACCACCACTCATTATCTGTTCCTCCGCGCCTTTGAGCAAAAACATAAAGAAAGCGCTGATGGCTGATGGTGGCACGGTACATGACGCTCGCAAAATGAATGGCAACATGACAAAAACACACACAAGGAGGAGGGTGTAGGCAAGGGGCAATCTTCACATTGTCCCATTGACAGGTCCACATGAGGCAAGTCATCCCAGACCTGTCGATCGCCCGCTCTGTGGTCCGCCGATCGTTTCTTAAACGTCGGCAAGGGTCGTGTTTGAGCATGGTGGAAAGCTCACGTTTGTTTGAAAATGCCTAAATGAATTGGATTGTATAATTGTATATCATAAATTAATTATCACCAAATTGCCGGCCACAAAAACAAAACAAAGGTCGTGTGCAAACAGAAACGTAGTAGACTTTATTTATATTTGCAGTGCGAGCCCAACACGAGTGCAACTTCTTGGATCAACCTCTCCAGTAGGCTTCTGTCACCACAATGATGTCAGTCACAGGAGAACGAATCGTGATGGTGTACCTTGGACACAGGCCAACTCTCGCATCTCACCATCTGAGCCTGTCAGGCTGATTGACATCAGCCTCAGATTGGCAGTGACAATCGAGACCTAAAACTGGGATGAATCAATCGCACCTGGTCTGACCGTCTATAATTGCTTACTCAACAATGGCTGGTGTTCGCGGAACCTCCTCAGTCGGAGACACACCAAACGAGATGGAGAAAAACATTGAACCCCTGCAAATCAACATGTGCACGTGGGAGACGTGTTTCTAAGCATATCTTTTTTGGGAGGTCTGCTGGAGTTTCGCACGGTGGCCTGAAACAATTGTTTTGAACAAGGCTCTTCAAAGTCAACCTTAGCTTTACCCCAGGTTCCAGTGACCTCACAACAATGCCCAGTCCAGCGTTTCGAACTTGGACAATGCCCTGCCAAATGAAAACAAACTAAATAGCGGGGGAGATGGTTGAAAGCATCTTGGCTGGAAAAGGGAAGGTCGCAACGTAGCCGTTCACGGCTACCAGGCTGCCACACGTGTATAAGGATGTATCAGGCAACCTATGCACCATCCAAACTCCAAACCATCACACTCGATGAGAAGGTCTGGGAAAAGGGTTGGCAGTTTGTCCATCTCCCTTCTCCTTCCACCAAGTCTCCTTTCCAATGTCTAGAAGTCGAAGGACCTGGCTTCGCTTAGAGACCAGCGATGGCGATGGACTACTGTTTGATCATTGATCACTCTGGACCGCGATTGACACCTCGTCGCAACACGGCTCCTCCTTCGCACTTTCAGCCCCAAGCTAGAATCACGCCAGTCTACCTTCTGTCCCTAAAGAGGCTGAATGTGAGGATCCACCACTTTTCAACACAACAGCAAGCTCCGAGCCTCATCCCAATCCCGCGTGCTGGCAGCAGCGGCCAAAGCCATTGCAGTTGACTGAAAGGATTTGTTGAACCCCTTCGACTTGTCCGTTCTTTCTTTGGGCATTGGTGTGCTGAGGGTGCGGAGAGGTACTGCCTGGATTTCCTTGGCTTTGAGGCTTTGAGGTGCCCGTTGTAGCTTCTGGGTGTACTGTTGGCTTTAGTATTGTACACCATCTGTCCACCGCACTCTGAGCGCGTCAAAGTTCATGATGTGAGAAGGCAGGATTTGAGACGTGCGTGTTAGCAGCAGGACTTGCAAAAGCAAAACCACACAATCTTAATGAATGGATGCCCAGCACCCACAACCCTGCCCGTGAAATCCTGGTCCTCTGAGTCCTCTGTCGGAATTCCGAGTGGGGTAAAGCTGCATTCATCACCTCTCGGTCGCCGCCTCCTACGTCAATTTCCCCGGCAGCGAAGCCAAAGTTGTAAACACACACGCGGCTCCATAGAGTTGGTCACCATCAAGTAGACATGCGGTGCGAAGGTAAACGTTCCCGACTTTCTCCCAAAAGAGGGTCTGTCGATCTTTATGTTTATCTGTTCATATCCCTTCTCCTCCCGGTGTTTTTGCTAGACTCACTGGCTCAGACCCCGGCCGTTCTGGCCTTAGACGTGGTGGGAAGGAGGAGCGCAAGCCCATGCAAGCCCAGTAGACCCGATGCAACAAGGTCTTCAAGGGGGCGGAGATGCCCCGGGTTAGGAAGTTGGCCAGAAGTTGCTGCAGGGTCATGGGGTGGACTTGTCCTTCTCGAAACTGCCAAACAAAGATCTGGCATCAACCTTCACCCTGCAGTCACGGACATAACGTCTTCCACCAGCAAGTGCTTACAAGCCTAATGGAGTTCAAACTGGAACAGCCGGTGTGGGCGTTTAAACTAGTCCAAGTGTCACGATTCATGTTGGAACCAAGGATTCTGCGGCGATGCATTGCATGAGGTCCAGTTCGGCATCAATGGAATAAAGGCGTTGAGAAGTGTTTGATGAAATGCTGCTTTGGGCAGGACAACATCCTCGTCCTCATCATCCTTCATCCTCCTCCTATATTAGCTAATTAGTTAGTCATCCTAGTATTTCACAATCTCTGCGTGGGTCCCACAGGGCTGGATCCAGTGTACCCTAGTCACATCTACCCTGAATTGGTCCTTTCTCCCAGCTGAGATTGGTGCATAACATACTCCATCGGTCAAAGGCCTGCAGCACCCACGCTCAGAAGACGGAGCCCCATGCAGTGACCCCTGTTCTGTGCACTCGCTCGGTCCGCAAGTGCTGTTCCGGCGCTAGGTCCCTAAGTCTGAAGACTAGTCTGAAGTACCTATATGGCAGTGAAACCAAAAAAAAGCGGCCAGCTTAATGGGCTTGAGTGCCCAGTGCCAGCGAGAATGTCCAGAATGAACTGCATGCAGGACAACGAGTTCCCCAAAACAAGGCCATGTCAAAGGCATCTATCGGATCTGGGGCTCCAAACCTGAGGGCGCTGCTTAGTGCAACACAACCAACTAGCAAAGACCTGGGTTCCCTCTGACCCTCTGAAACAGCCAGCACTCCAGCACGATGCTGACCAGATTGGGTAACAGGGATTTCCCTCATGAAGTGCTAAGGTCAAGAAGCAACTGACACTCTATAGACAAGTTGTTTGGTTTCGCTCTGAAGCAGCGTGATGCGGTGCGCAGGTTAAAATATGTGCTATGAAGTTGGATATACATGACCAGTCTGATCTTGATGACCACGACCTGCCTCAATGGCGGCATTGGAAGGAGCCAATCGATTCCTCATACAAAGCCAAGTTGCAAAAAACATGCCAAGTAGATGTGTGAGGCTGGTTGCAGGGTCTGGTCTGGAGTTGCTGGCTGGAAGTTCTGGTGTTCAGGTTTGACTTGACTAGAATTACACTTCAGCGACTTCAGAGTAGATTTGAGTAGAAGGCACGAACCGATAAACCACAAATAGTTCACGGTGCGGATGTGGGTGGGGAAGCCATGTCGCCAGGAAGCGCCCTGTCTTACCAAAAGAAAACACTATTGATTGGCACATGTTTGATGGTTTTTAATGCCTGGACTATGGGAAACCACGAGGAATGCAGGCTTTTGCCAGGATCTTGGAGGGTGTGATGCATGTGCCAGCGCCTGCAAATCCGCATGCCTCAGGTGTTTTCACATGCTCTGATGGTGATCTGAGCTCCAGGCCAGGGCTTCCGAAGATTTGCGCCATGTTGGCCAGGCGGCTGCCCTGGTCGAAGGGGTTGGGCCTCAAAGTCTGGGGAGAGGACGTTCCAGGTCGAGGGTATGTCCTAGGGTCCTAGAGAGTTATCATAGAACATACGGCGTTCTTTTTCGGATAGTATTGGCATGTATTGGCTATATCCTGCTGGATGTTGGCAATTGGCAAGTGGCCCGCACTGAAAAACAGCCGATCTCAGTCTGAGTGGCATATTGTCATAGTAGTTCTCGATCATGGTGACATTGTCCAGTACGTTGGGCAACTAGGCGAGGACGGTGGTGTCAGGAGGTGTGTCTGGAGTAGTCGCGTCTTTCCGATGTTCAGACTTATGGCCAAAAGGTGTTCAGCACTCATCATGCAAAACAATGCAAAACACTGATGCATGTTGGATAGGAGGCCTTTTAAGTTAAACATAGTTTAACTGCAATACTCTTGGCGTATTTTTCCAAGCGCACCAATCATTTTGCAGGGTATTTCGAGTTTGGACCCGTCCACACCGCGGCCGCCTGTTTGGGCTCCAAGCTGCCTGATCCCCAAGAAACCACCCGCTGAAGCTTTTCCTTGATTCCATCATATTCTATCTGAATCTGGACCACGTTGCAATGAGAACTGTATAACTGCTCCAAAATGGCGCCGTAGCGGTGTGCGATGTTCCCCGAGTTCTGGCATGTTCGACAGCATTATAGCATTGAAGGAAACCGTTTCCACTTGGCGACATCTCTCAGGGAGACCCTGATCTGTGCCGAGTGTCATGAGATAAGTTCAATGGCACCAACATGCCATTGGAGATGAGGATCACCTTGGACTGTGACAAGTTGATGCGCGCTACTCTATGTTCACCTACAATAACAATTTGAGACCACACAAGCCCAATCTAAGCGGAAAGCTTGCAGGAGTCAGCCACACATGCCAACATTGATCCAGAACTAGAAAGCTTCGCGTTGTTTTTCCTTGCAACACGCTGTGTCTGTGGGCTTGGGCGCCCCTAAAGAGATGGCCAGGCTACACCAAACAGGCAAAAACGGGAAAGGAGAAGGCTCGGAGAAGGGCAAAGATTGTAAAACATGTGGTTTTGGGCCAACAGCAGCCGATCTGCAGCCTGGAAGCTGCAGGCACACAGGAAAAGCGCACCACCGAAAATGAAACTACCAATCGTGGTGCAGCCAAAAGAAGCAGCAAACACGGAAAGAGCAGCAGCAGCAACAACAACCGGGACTTAGTTGAGGCTGTTCTTTCATAATTACTCTTTCCAACCGGCCATGTGGCAATGCCCAAAAGAAGGAACTGCAAGACCTCGTTCTCGTCCAGTCCTCAACTGCATCTCTCTCTGTCTCTCTCTCTCTCTCTCGGTCTGTTTGTCTTTTTCTCTCTGTTGCACTGGCAAAGACAGGGTGGATAATGGCTTCAAGCGATCCACTGATCCCCAGCACTGGGAGTTTTCCTGACGGAATCTCCCAATCACGGGCGGTGTTGCCCTCCCGCTACCCCCAAAAAGATACTACAGTACGAGGAGCGGTGGCTTAGATGTGTAACTTGCTCAGATTAAGCAAGTTGTATGCTGAATAGCCCTGCTAATGCAAACCAGCTGCTGGCTTCCTCCGGCTGCAAAGTGCAGAAGAAGGACAAAGGAGTTTGGGGACATTGACATTGATCATTGCATTCGCCAATCTACAAAAGGGAATCAAAAAACTCTGGGTCTGTGAGAAGTTCATGCAGCATCTTTGCCGTCCAAACTGGTGCTAAAGAACGTGCTCGAAAGGTCTGATCATGCAACCTCTGCCTGAAAGGGCTTTCCACCAGTGTTTGATTGTTCTTGCCTATGGCCCCCTATCCTTTTGTCAGAAAGTGGCGTCGAGCTAACAGTTCCAAAGAGTCCCGCCACTGCATTTGGCCGCGGCATTTGCACATGGCACACGACATGAAACAAAAGAACAAAAACAAACTTCACCATAAACTCCGCCGGTGGAATGACCATCCAATCAACAGGTTTTGTGGGCTTGAACTATCCCAAACCATCCCACTGAACATGCACCCGCAAAAAAAAAAAAAAACTCTGCCGACGCATCTCGTGCATGTCCCTTGCCTTTTCAAATCTGTAAGCAGTCCACTCGGACGATCCATCTGACCTTGGTGCGAAGGCATCGAAGTCAGAGTTTGGTTGACTTGGTTCATGGAAAAGCTACGAGGGGGCGATGGGCGACTGAACTACCTTGTGGAAAGCCAAACATCGAACCGGAGTTTGCAAATGAAAAACGTTTCAGGTGAGAATTGGCTGGACTACAAACTCCAGCTTCTGCAATCAGCGGCAGCCCGAAACTCCAACGGCGCCAAGTTTGTGGGAAAGTCGACGAGTCAACGGCTCAAGCCGGTCGCCCACGTTCTGAAGCTTCCAAGTGTCGTACAAAACGGGAATTCTGTTTGGGCAGATTCCAAGGGCCAAACCGCCCTTGGTGAGCTGCCGCACTTGTTGACTTTATCTCAGGCATTGTGAGGTTGTCGCTCCACGACCGAGGCGCAGGCCACAAATTCCACTTGTCTTTGAAGTACATGTCCATTTTATCTCCTCCCCAAGTTCAATTTCCAGAAAGCTGATGCACAGATGCACAACCAGTTGCCTCAAATAGGCCCCCCTTTATGAGTTGTCAGATTGGCTCCCGAACAAATAGGTCAAAGGCAACAACTAATCGTTGAATCTGGCTCTACCCTCCAGATGCTACCACAAGCTTTGGCACTAGATGTACGCTTTTGGGTGCAAAAAAAACATTGAAAATAGCCATGGGAAAACTAATCTCCGACTAAACACCGTCGTCCCATTGCCCATGAGCTCTGGCTATATACCGTAAATGACTTGCTATGTTTGTTCGAGATTCTTCTGGTGGAATTGCCTCGGTTCTTGTTCGTCCCGTCTAATTCCAAATTGGCGGGACTTTAGACATGGCCATGTGATGGTCACCACAAGCCTTCAGGCGCTGTTCATACCACTTAGGCACAACGGTCCCAAGCACCAAAGCACCAGGAAAAACTATACATAAAACAATTTGTTTTGAAAGATTTAGGACTGGTTGAGGACTAGGGTACTGGGACAGGTGTGAACGACAGCTGCTAGCAGCTAGCTGCAAAAGGCGCATGTCCAACACCAAATCAACTTTGGCTCCTGCGTTCCCCGCCACCAACCCTCCAACTGCATTCCTCGACAGCTCACTCCTTGATCCACACCTTTGAAGCAGAAGCCTTCGCATTTTGGCCTCGGAACCGACTTCTTTGGGATGAAGTGCTTGAGGCGGCATAACCATCAAGAACCCCCGCCTTAGGACATAACCAAGTGCTTGGGACATTGGTGAGTTATGTTTTGCTGAGTTGTATGCAGGGGTAGCCTCCGGCAATGTGCGACCGTGGATGTCCACTTTGCCTTGGAATTGTTGGGCGTTGGGGTGCCCTTAGTTCTTGGCCCCCAATGGCCAAGAAGGTTCATGAGCATTGACACGCTTGTCCACTCCAGGGGCCAGTGACATTCCAAGGCCCAATGAAAATTGTTGAATTTTCCTTTTAACTTGTAGACAGTTAGAAAAGATACGCCAATGGACATGGCAATAAACCTTGCGGGTCCAGGTCTTGCTCAATAGCCTTGGGCTGCGAGGCTAGCTGCCAAAGGGTCTGAAATGATATGTTCTGCCCGACCTTGGAAACGCTACTAGGAGCGATGCCCTTTGCTCCTAGCAGCGTCCTTGCTCCTAGTAGCGATGCCTTTATATGCCTCAATCTGTGTCACTGCCAGACCCTAATCGCGTTCTTTTTTCTTTCCGGGCCTTCGACGGAAGGAGGTGAGTGAGAAGCACTTTGGGTGATCTCTGTGCAGTGTACAAGCGGTAGCATTGAGGGCTCTGTACAACTGGATGCGCGTGCGCTTGTACGCTGTGCCGGAAATGAGGAAAGGAGAAACAGCACGGAAAGGAAATCAACCACCAATCAAAAGCTCCATAGTAGTTCCCTTTAGCGCGTGTGCTTTCAATCTGTTTTGTTCACATGGTGTTTCAAAACCAATTAGTTTTCTATTTATATAGCACTTGTTCACTCTTTCGTGGTCTGACCAATGCTTGTGACGGTGGCTCCCAAGGGGGCGAGTCCCACTGAGGCAGGGCTAAATCGAAAGACCATCTCAGCTGATTTCACGCGCGCGGACCCAATGACCAAGCGCCCCCCAAAAAATTCACAGAAGGACCCAAACCATGCTTTACTTTCAACCATTTCCTGCTCTATCCAATCTTCTCAGAAAACATCACAAAATTGCGCTGGTTGGTCCATTGAGAGTGGCGCTTTTTGGTGCCAACCCCACGAAGTGCACCCCTCCAACACGGCCGGTCATGCAACTTTGCAGTCCGAAACCGCCATGGCCAGCATTGGAGGGCGATGGGCCATGGGTGCTGGGAGTGACACACTGCGCCCTGTACAAGACGTATAAAAACCACCGGATTTGCCCGTCGGAGTGCGGATGCCAAACTTGGGGAGGGGGTCAACCTGTAAGTAAGTTTGGTGCAGATATGTGCAGATTGATTGAAAATTGTGATGGAGGTCAATGGATAGAAAAGGAAATGTCAGAATTAGAATCCATCATGATTGGTTCTGGGGCTAGTTCTGCAGCTCAAAAGGGCAAACCCAATGATAAACAGGCACTTTTGGCTGGATCGACTACAATCAAACTATTGGACTAAACAATAAAACAAAAGCACACCAACCACCATTCTACAGCAGCCTCCCCCAACGAACATCTCAGCACATATCTTTTTTGAACACCTACTCATTGCCCTTCCCAAGTTCAAAACACACATGACAAAATGCCTGTAGCCTCAACTAAGCCCATGGAACACAACAGTTGGGAGAGCCTCCCCCATCACCTACTCAGGCGCCACAGGCGCGGACATGAAGGATGCTGGTGGTGCGGTGCCGGCGATTGGAACGCTGAGATGGGCCATCAGTTTCGGAGGCGGGGGAGATGGGGTCATCGACGTCCAAGAAGGTTCCTGGGATCACTGGAAGGCGAGGCGCACTGTAATGGAAAAGAGTTTTTGAACATGACTTCTGGTGTTTTGTTTGCATCGTCTGAGAGGGCCATCTCAGAGGGCCCACGTATGCTCTAAGAGCAAGCGCCGGAGACAAATTTTTTGACGAGCAACTATATATACATACCTTGATTGAAATTTGAATTACCTCATCCATCCAATGTATACAAGATAAATATAGCAGTGTAGTGAATCCACGATTGCCCTCGTTCGAGGAATTGAAGGAAACTACAACCGGGAACCGGGACTCCCCACCACACATCTCATCCAAGCTGATCATAGCATATGAAACAGAGTGGAGGAACCAGGTAACCAGGCAATGCAACCATGCGATTGAACGTCCATCTTTTAAGGCACCGAAAACCAACTGCCCTTGCTTGTTTCAGTCTTCAATCCAATCCATCTCTGCTCCCGTGCCGCCCACTGGCACCGGCCAGTGAAGCTCCGTTGAGGCGAAGGTCTTCGCACTACCACTTTGTGTTTCCCCTGCTGCTCCTCTGGAAGGTGCAACCTCTGCCTTGGCGCCGGTGTGGACCAAAACGCACAATATCGAAAAGCAAAGCGCACAATATAGAAAAAGTTCGGGCCCCTTTTTCCGCCAGCGTGTAAGCTGCAGTGTGAAGGTGGTCAGGCCGTCTTGGCCTTATCCGATCCCACCCGAACAAAAACATGCCAAGCGCAAGCAGCAGCTCGGTCTGGAGGTGCAGGGGCCAGTGGTGCGAGTCTTGGGCGGTAAATCCGGTCGGTCACTTTTCTATTGATCCAGACAAGCTCAGCTTGTGCCCCCTCTTTTCCGAACGCGTGTAAGCTGCAGCGTGAAGGTGGTCAAGCCTTATCTGACCCCATCTGCCCCATCTTCCATCAAATTGACACCTTGAGGCTGCTGCTTGAACAACAAATTCCATGCCTTTTCCGGTAATCGAGCATCTCTAAAGTTGGCGCTTGTCTGCAAGATCTGTCGAAAGGCCTCCATGGCAGTTAAGCTCATGACCTTGCTTTGGGCGAGATGTCAGTCATGAAACTACTCGCCGCCACTTCTTGAAGGTATATATCCACGACCTTCAATGAGATCCAACGACCTCTGCGTCGTACTAGTTCTGCTGATTCTGTCAGGCCGATCACGAACGTTGCCCTGACCGGCCTGAAGGAGGCAAGCGTGACTTGGCTAGGGCCTTGTCATGTCTGTGCCTCAGAGTGGATGGTGAAGCTGGCCAAATGGACTCATGTGGCCTGCCAATCCCACTCCAATAGACTTGTACCAGGTCTGGGGCTCAAGCTTGCTCGACTGATGACACGCTGCTCTGAACCTCGTCTTCGGCTCCAAGATTTTGAGCAGCGCGTGATCAATGGAGAACCTTACATCACGAGGAAAAGGACTTCTTTCCTCTTGGCCTTCAACAACTCGCAAGTACAGCAGCATACCGGCCTCCAGCGCATAGCAAAAAAATGGCTGCTTCCCTAGTCGGGCCCCAAACCAAACATGTCGCAAGGACCGCCAGTAACACCTGTGCCGGCATGGCCCTGTGATGCTCAACAAGCTCAAAAGATGTCCACATTGCACACAAATCCCATGCCTGCTGAAGAGATCTTCTCAGGGTGGGGCGCGTTACACCGACCAAATTGATGGACTTAGAGAGGTGATAGTGTAGAATGTTGCCCTGTTGCAAAAAGGTGCCTCCCGTACCTCGTGAGTACTGCCTTGATCTCATCCAGATCTGCTGGGTTTGCCAGAAAAACTGCACCAGGAGACATCCCTTCTGATCGCAACCATCCTTTGAAAGACAGCCGCCCACAGAGTTCCAGTCCTTCTCGCATCTTTCGCCTCGCAGCATCACCATGGAAGAAAACCAACCAACCATGGGGACATGGATCTTCTCCAGGAAACCCAAAATTTGAATCGAAATCTCCAGGAAAGCCAAGAGGTGAGTCGAAATCCATCGCACCTCAACTTCTCTTCGCTCAGCTAGGTGAAGCTGCGCCAACGGTTCAGGGATTGTAGCGTCCCTTGTTGGATGATCAGCAGGATTCCAGCCAAGGATCGGGCACTTGCTCTTTTTAGGATGAAGCGGAGCGCACAGGAGGAGCTCTTCCCGAGTCAGAGCACATAGGGCAACGTGAGAATCAATAAGGCTCAGCTTAAAAATGTTGAAGTGAGAGGAGCCCTTCCACTTCCAGCCTGCAAGAGCTCTACAAGATTCTACAAGGATCTCATTTGAGAGCATATCTATAGCCCTCGTGTGCGTTGCTCATCCTGGCAGGACTTCTCTAAGCACTGCAAATGGCAGGCAAAGCCCTTGCTATCTCGGCAGGAAGGCCTGGGCAGTAGGTGGCACTTGGCTTGGTGAACGGCATTCATTCGCAACTGTCAGCAGAACAAACTCTTTCGGATGAGGAGATGCCAAGTGCACTGCGCACCCAAACCTCTCATCTTCCGCCACTGGGAGCTTCGACCTCCTATAGGAGCCTCCAAAACCGGCCGTCGCCGGCGTCACCTTGATATTGCCACCATGTTGTCAGCCAAGGGCTTTTGCGCCTGAAAGGCGATGAGAATCACAGAGGAACCTTGTGGGAATGAACTGGCTAATGCAGAAAGCGCAAAAAATGACAGGGCTAGTCTGCAAAAAATGACTGGTGATTTCGTAACGTTTGCAAACATCTGCGCAGCCCGTCAGAGCAGCTGCAGGTCGTTGCCGCACTGTCAGGGCTGCGCCTACTCAGGTTGCTAGTCTGTGACACGCGGACAGGCCCGCATCGGAGAATCCCTTCACTGCGAGGGCTGGGCAAGGGAATGTTGAGGCATTATAGTCTGTGACAATGGGGACATGCGGGGGCACTTCCGCGCACTGCCTCTGCCGGAGGATTGCCGTATATTTCTACCATTTGTCGGTCGGTATAGTCAGAAAAGAAAGCATATGAAAGCGAAGACCTTCGATAAATCTTTTGCAGAAAAATATACTTTCGCGAACCTCATCGTGAATCTTTCGTGGATGGTATTGACAAGATTTGAAATGCTGTCTTATACAAAACTTCTTACATGGGGTTTTAGATCGACTCACATATTTGACAGCAACCATCTGTCCTCCCAGGCTCTTCGGCCGGTTGCCGCCAAAGCCCGCATTGACAGGGCTGCTGCAATTTGGTAATTATTTCTAATTCAATTACACAAAAGAATTGAATTCCACTTGAATCTGAGCTGGTATTTGGAAGAAGTTCTTGGAATTGAGATGAAGGGGAATCAAACAGGAACGCAATGGGAATCAAAAGTAACCATAAGAAATCAATAGGAACCAAAAGGAAATCAAAGGTTTTCAATAGGAACCAAAAGGAAATCCAAAGGCGTCAAAAGGAAATCAAAAGGAATCCAAAGGAATCAAAAGGAAATCAAAGGATTCACAGGGAAAACACAAGGAGAACCTAAAAGAAACCCAAAGGAATCAACAGGGAATCAAAAAAGGAATTCAATAGGAAAGAAAAGGGAAACCATAAGGTATCAAAAGGAAACCAATAGGAACCGAAAGGAAATCATTAAAAACAAAAGGAAATGAAAAAGGAAACACAAGGAAATAAATAGGACACAACAAGAAGACAAAAGGAGTTCCACAGGAATCAAACAGAACCAAAAGAAAATCCGATACTATGTAGGAATCGTTATCAATAGCAATCATTTTATACATAATTAAAACTATTAAATTTGTATGTTTTCAATCGTATGTTTACCTTGTTTTTGGCAATTTTTTACTATTTAGGAGGGTTACTACTCAGGACGGGGAGTTGATTCCACAGTTTCGTACTATAGGTTGTGTTGTCAATCATAGGTCAGCAATAATTTCTACGTAACGTGTCAATCGTGAAGCCCAAGCTTGTCTGACTTTTTAGGTTCCTGGATTCGCGGCTAGGTGTAATCTTGACAAGAAGCCTGTCACACTGGAGGCCGAACAAGAGGCAGCACCGGTGCAAATCACAAAAGCGATTTTTTGCATTGGTATACCTACCCAAAAAAGCTCCAGGGTTTGGGGAAAGCAGAAAATTTAAAAAGGCGCCAATGGCTAGCGGCCCAAGCAATCCGGAGGGCAAGGATGGTCTTTATTTGTCGTCCTTGTCGCGAAGTTTGTGCCACTGCGCCTGCAGAGCCTCATTCGCTGAGCGAATTGCGTCTGCGTTGCAGCCGGCTGATTTCAATCTGCGCGTCGGCAGCAAGGGTAATTCAAGGAGAGGGCGCGTTTTAGCACGCCGCCGCCAAGAATGACCCGCTTGCTGCCGTGCCTTGCCAGCGACGGAGCGAAAAATGTGAAGACCAAAGGCCCGCATGGTACGCAATTAAGAGTTTTTGTCGGGCTGAATGACTTCCCATGGCCTACGACACGCCTCCTGATTCAAAGGAGGAAGGTGTTGTCATAAAGCTTCGGGCGCCCTGCCCCAAGGTCACTTGCTCGGAACTCATGGTGCAAGATTTTGTGAGCAGCAAAGGACTGGCTTGGCCAAGTGCTGTTTGGGGCAGTCGTAGGTCAAGTGGGTTCTGGCCCAATGAAAGAAAGGTCTTGCCACCGTGCGCCAGGACCTTCACAAGTGATGGGGTCTGACGCAAGAATTTGCGTCAAGCAAACACGACAGCAAGGAAGAATTACACTGGCGTAGACGCCGTAGGCCCCGCGGGCGTATATAGGGAAAGAGCTCATAGTGCCTGAGGGAAAAACCCAATGTCTAATAATAGTAGCTTTTTAAGTCGCGCCAAAGGCACTGTGTTCACCTTGCTAGGGACGACATCATGCCGTGCCAGGGGCGGCATGTCAGGGCAGGGACGATATCCAATGAATGGTGCCTGACACATTGATGCATGTATCGCCTTGCGGTATGAATCTGGTGTCATGCCAGGGACGGCATCATGTCATGTCAGGGGTGATGTCATGTCCTGCCAGCGCCAGCACCTGCACCAACAGGCCCACACAAAACGCCAATCCAGCACCCACGCACCACGCGCCTCCACAGCACCAGCACGGGAGGACAAAACGAAACGCCGATCCAGCAGCAGCACGGGCGAAACGAAACGCTGATCCAGAGTCAGCATCTGCACCAGCACAGCAGCAGCACCCGCAAAACGAAAGCACCGATCCAGACCCAACACCTGGACCAGAACGGCAGCAGCACCCGCAAAACAAAAACGCCGATCCACAGCACCAGCGCGGGCAAAACGAAACGCCGATCCAAAGCCAGCACCTGCACCAACACCAGCACGGCAGCACCCGCAAAACGAAAACGCCGATCCAAAGCCAGCACCGGCACCGGCACCAGCAAGGCAGCAGCGCCCGCAAAACCAAAACGCCGATCCACATCCAGCACCTGCACCAGCACGGCAGCAGCACCCGCAAAACCAAAACGCCGATCCAAAGCCAGCACCTGCGCCAGCATCAGCATGGCAGCAGCACCCACAAAACCAAAACGGACCCAAAGCCACACCATTGAGAAGTGAAAACCCCTATATAGGCCGCAGCTATCTGGGGAAAAACGTCCACGGAAACCTGTGCCGTAGGATCCACGCAAAGAACGCCGATGCTTTCTCCACGTATTGGCCCGCCTGACCTGGAAAACAAGTCAGAGGCGACAAGTTTAAAAAATGCAAACGGGTGACACGTGGCTATTTATGTGGGAACTCACCTTCAAACAGGCAAAAGCATTATTCAACGAAACCTCCCCCTCCAAAACCTCATTATTTGCTTCTTCAGCTGCTTCGTCAAGGGATGTCAAGGGGAAGCTGCTGGGCAACTAACACTTTGTGTAAAGCGATCATCAACTCATCACCATCACAGTCACCGCCAGCAAGGATGGATACGCCACCGCCTCCTGAAGAGGTCACAGGCTCACAGGTTGTGAGGGAACACGGCTTTATAAATTCAAACTCCGTGAATAATATTGTGAATCCCTCCGCCCGCCTTTAGTGCCGACAACTATGACATCGTTGGGAATGGCCCACAGGTACTTTGGCCAGGGGACTGCCTGGCAAATGGCAACCCGATGGCTGCGCTTTCCATTTGACGATTTTGCCGCGCTGCAGCATTGCCCCTATCACGCCAAAGTAGAATCGCAAGACATAGCCACTTGTCCACACACATCCGTTTGGTTTGGTTCGTACCTTCCGTCCAATGCAAAACTAGAGCTTTAAAGCAAACGGTTTTGCTCGGCGCCGAAAAACCAGTCCAAGAAACCCCAAGTGCCACTTGTCCGCGGTGGCAATGCTGCCCCCACTGCAACGAAATTCAAAGAAAAAGCCATGCAGTTATGTTGGACAACTCTTGCGTGCTTGGGATCTATCACAAGGGGCTTCTTGCAAGTCCTCAAGGAAGGGTGTGCCGCAGGGCTGAAGGTTATACAAAGGGGAAGCTGCAAGGAAAATCGTGAGCGAAAGCAATGAATCCTGGAATAGTTAGCTCAGATCAAAGACGGGGCCACATCTCGTGCCCAGTCTACTCAGTTCGTTGGTCACAACACCAGCTCCACCCCACAGCTCTATGAAGTCATATGTCCGGCCGATGGGCCGGGGCGCTTCCCCGCTCTGTTAATGCGCCCTACTGCCCAACCACTCCCTCCCCTTTGGCGGAGCGAGAGCTTTCCACCCCGCAGATTGCCACAAAGACGAAAGCCTCAGCAGGCAGATCAGGAATCTCGTTGGCCAACAGGTTGCAAGTAGACGAGCTTGAGGCTGCTCGAGCCGGACTGGCTGCCCGAGGGGCTGTTGATACCAACTCGAACTCCTCAAGTGATCCGTGATGTTCACCCCGCTCTAGCTCAGCCACCTTCCTCTCAAGGATATCCACACGCAAGAGCAACTGTTGAACTTGAAGGCGAAGAAGTTCAAATCACTCATGCAAATAGGCCAAGATTCGATCAGCCCACAGAGCCGGGCCTGGAGCAGGCCTGGAAGTGGAGGGTGCGGCACAGGTGCCAAAGATGGAAGAGTGGAGCCCAAAGCGAAGAGCCAGAGCAATGACCAAAAAGGCACCCAGTGACAGGCCAAGTCCAAGCCGACAGAGAAAGCGAGAGCAAAGAGGGAGTGCTGCAATGGAGCGGGCAGGCAAGTCCCCACCAGTTGGTTTCCACCCCCCCACCGAACCAGGTCCAAGAAAGACCTAACGGAAAAGGCAATGGGCATGAGGTCTTGAGCAGAACTTCATATTGCATACTCTACTAGAATATGCGTCTGTGCATGTAGTATATATATAGACAATACTATACAATAATTACTATAGTGCGCCAATATTACAAATATATGAATACACATATATAACTAATATTGCCCATATATATAATATACTATATTTATTGCATCTTATTGTGTGCATCACAAGCACAAGTGTGTTCCAATGTATAGTGAGTACTGTGCTCTCCGCATTGCAAGTAGCGCTTTCGTTCCATCCACTTGCGAGACACCACATAACTGAGACACAAGTCTTATCAGATCTCATTGCGCCACTCCATCCCGATGTTTCAAGTTCATCCTCCCAGGTTTCAGGCCACACATCACACAGATCCAGGCCACAAGGTTTGTGCTCGTAGCTCGGAACGTTCCACCTGCAGGAAACGTGGCTTCACATCCTCTTGGAGCGAAGGGGCGGTGCTGCCACCATTGGCACGACGATAAGCCTTCTTCTGCATCCTCAGTTGTGCGGATGGTCAGGAGGAACGGGTAGTTTCGGTTGGGCTGGCGCAAATCCTTTTTGGTGTTGGCATGCTCAGCCAAGGAGAGAAGCAGGATGGGAATGAAAAGGGTCAAGCCGCGAAGTCTGCGAAGGAATCCTCTAGACTCAGACCTGGACCTCTGGGGCGTCTAGCGGATGGATCTGATGATTTCGATGGCCAAATGAGTCACATCTTCCTGGGTTGGCTATCTGGATGCATACGAGACTGCCATTCCAAACGCTGGTTCACCACCCGTTCACCCCAACCGCTGGTCTGCAGGTGCCCAAGCGGCAAGAAGGCTTTGTAGAAGCGATCCCTCACTGAGTTCCACTCATCTCTGCGCACCACACATTGGAAGGAAGCCAACTTGCCTCGACACCCAAAAGTCAGGCCTATCTAGTCAGGCGTCGTGGGCAACTTGCTTGATGGAGGCCCAAGACATGACTTGCTCTCACTTTTTCTGGTCTTCAACTTCAACTAGTTTGAATTCACTGAGCTGCCAAAAAGAACCCGATGCCATCCAAAAGGTATATAATATATTCTGATGCGTCTTCACCTGAATTCATATTGTTCTTCTTATGTGCATCATTTTGGGCCTAATGTTGTGTATGCTGCTTGCTTCCACCACAGGCTTATTCAGAGTTACCTTCCAAGACACCTCTGCTCTTGACATGGTTGTCTTGATGAGGTCGAAGGTCACTCGAACGTTCAAGCGAGGTTGACAATTGGTTTGATTATGTTTGATCACATTGAAGTAGTCATTGAAGTGAGATATGGTAATCTAGGTGCATGAAAGCCCATTGGGCAAGTGTTAAGTTCTTCTTGCATACATCGCTCAAATCTATGATATGACATCAACAAAGCTGCTGATCTTCTGATTGATGTGGGCAACGTGGTCATCATCCTTTGGACCTGCTTTTTCGTGCTCCGGGCATCCAAGAGCTATGTTTATGCTATTGCTTGGTACCCGACGACCTCCCAGCCGGACTCTGTAAGCCAACTGCAGCTCAAATGGCATCCGTCCAATGAGTTGTAGACTGGGAAGTGGCTGTGGATATTCAGGTTGGCCAAGAAAAGTCGGATGTATTGCCTGGCAGCCGGCCATAAACAGCTTCTGTATCAGTGGAGCAGCTAGTCAGCCCCAATCTGTGGGCCCAAGAACATAACCTTTAGCATGCATGGAATTGCATGGAAGTCGAAATTATGCCCTTAAGAGAGAGAGAGAGAGAGGGAGGGAGAGAGACAGAGAGAGAGGGAGAGAGAGACCCTCAAACCTTCACATCTAAATCTCAACACAGACTGAACCATGCTTGGCAACTTGGGAGTCTTGCACCACTCAAAATCAGGTCGTAACATGACCATCCGGCGACGGACCAGAACAAAAATAGATCGACCTTCCTGAGTCTGTCGATCAACTCGGTCATCTGCACAGTCACCTGTTGATGGACCGAATCCAAATCCTGCACCACCTTCCAACTCTCTGAGCCCCAAAAGGTGAGACAAAACCATCGCCCAGTTGCGACAAGTAGAACTTGTCTTGGCCATACTTTCCAGGTTCGAAGCGCATCCATCGGTCCAGGTTAAGCTCTTGCCCGTCGTCAATGGTCACCTCTGCAGGCTGACGTGGCAACTCTCAAGTCAATGCTGAAGCATCTGAAGCCATTCGAGAAATCAAACTAGAAATGCCACAGGTGGCATTTAGAGGCCGTTGCTATTAGGATTATTAGATTGGATTGCCATTCCTATTAGGCAGGTGGCATTTAGATACAATCTCCTTATAACAATAACAATGGCATTTGTTGATATCTGCCCATCTCGCAGTCGCGTCTGACAGGAAGAGTTGCCCAATCCCGGGAGCCCATAGCGCACTGCGCAGACTCGGTTTCCTCCACGGCCATGGGCAAGAGCGGAAGCCCACGGCGGCAAGACTGCACGGTGAGGACGCTATAGAAATCCTGGCAACTAAGGGCGGCTGGGTCTCCAACTTGGATAATGATGATAATGGATAGTCTGCACAGTACTAAAATGTTGTGCTAGAACTAGGATCTTATTAAAATAGGATATAAGAATCTATAAGAGGAGCATATCATATCCAATACAAGAAGGGTCTTCCACTACATGAAGATTGGATGATGCGTATGACGACGGAACTGACGACGGACAAACTAAGCCTTCCCCACCAAGTGCGATGCATCGAGCCGGAAAAGGGCGGACGGCGGACCAATGGATCCACTACAGAATTAAGGATCAGGACTCCAAACAAACACTCTCACCAGAACCTCCCACTGAACCAGCCTTGTCGAGCGCCCTGAGTTCATCGATGCCAGGACGGTTCACAAACCACTGGGCGGTACGAGTGGCAGAGTCCAACAAGAGCCGCAGGTGGAGGGAAGACCAGGAGTCCTGGGCTTCAGTTATGGTTTCACCATGTTTCGCCCGCTCAGCTGGTCAGTCAACACACTTCAGTTACTACATCACTTATTATTACAATATATTGTATTATAGGATCTGGTGGACTGGCGATGAGTTGGCACTTGAAAGTGATGAACGTGATCGGGCGTTTTGGGCTTGGTTCTGTGAGCCGACGAGCTTAGGTGCTTCCGCCTGCAATGAAACTTCGAGAAAAAACGCTTCAAAAGGCCAAGGCTCGTATTGTTCCTGGGACACGTGGAAGAAGCCTTTCTCGGAGAATTGGCCAAACAGACTGGTTCATTTCATTTCAGAAGTGCATGCCTTCCAAAATAAGCCAGCAAAAGAGTGTGGGTCCTCCTCTCGCCAAAAAGTAGAAACCTGAACACCGCATACCGTATACCCCCTACTAGATCAAAGAGAAAAGTCTGCTACTAGACATGGCGGGTAGTTGTTTCTGATACGTATTTGCAAACACGTTTTGTTGGGAAGACAAACAGAGAAAACACACGAGTTGGCATCCGCCAGGAAACCATAGAGTTCGTAGCGAGAATTGCCGGCTCTCTGCGAGGAAGGACGGCAAAGGAGGAGTCCCGAAGACTCCCCCGAGAAGCTCAGGGAGCAATCGCCCTCGGCGGGGAAGTCCCTGGAGATCCTGGACGTCTGTGGTGTCTGCAGCTAGGGTGGCACAGCTGGCCAGGCGGGCCGTTTTGATTGACCCGTCCTTGGACCAAGGAAGTCTATCAAGGGATTGACAGCAAATATCAGCAAATCCAATCAAAACAACGTCTCACACGTCTCAATGGACAAGCTGGCTGGATGGGTGCTCTTGCTCAGGGGGCGTCCCTACCATCAATATCCAGCTGCCATCCCCAAGAACACCCCAGATCTTCAACCCAAATCCCTTGGAGAAAAAAAATACGGTCCGTTGCCAGGAAATCCGCCAGCTGCTCTGCTGCCTCATGCTCACATCATCCGAAGCTTCGAGGAACGAACTGCAAAAGGAGCCAAGGCCCCAGGAATGAAACTGCTGCAGCTGCGCCTGACGACGGCCGCGTCGGTCAGGCGGAAGTGACGGTCAGGTGGTGAAAAGGGAGATGTGGTGGTCCAGTTTGCACTTGCCTAGGTTATTGAATGCGCGATGTCTGTTTACCTTTGGGGGGTGGTGGGCGGGAGAAGCTGAAGCGAGCTGAAGTACATGTGTACCACTTATATTCATCATGCCGGCCGACTGTTGCGACGTTATTTCTCTTGAAGGTCCGGTCTCTACTTCTTTCAAGGCTCTTGTTACTAGTAGCTACTACTTGCTCCTAGTAGTACGGCCAGGAGCCCGTAGTAGCGTCCTTGCTTCTAGTAGCGATGCCAGGAGCCCCTAGTAGCTTCTTATATATTGCGCACACTTGTCTACATGGTATTTTTCTGGCTCCCCCTACCCCCCAGGCAATCCATAGATGCCATTCTGTCACCCATCAACGGCACCGGAGCCTCGCCGGGAGCTTGGTGTTTCAACATCTGCAGGTCCTCGGGGTCGCTAGCGGCTCTAGCGCTTGCTGATTCTGGGGTGGTGTGGGAGGTTGTCAATCAATAGTTTGGGAGCCGTCTTATCTGTGCTAGTTGCGTCCTGACAATCAAACACGTCGAACCTGTGCTCGAATCAAAGGGATGCAACAGGTTGGACACTTTTCCTGCCCTTGAATGCATGTCTGACTCTTTTGGCTTCTTGTTGGCCAAGGCTCATCCAGCTGGTAGTTGCCGCGCCCGAACCAGGCACGAATCTCTGGTCGCACCAGCAAGTATGAGAAGTTCTCTGGAACGTTATCCTTGACGAGACTAGTGCACAATGAAGGGCTGATTATTAGCGAATGGATCTCAACATGACAAGGGAGATCTTGGTGCGACTCTTAGAGAATAGATTCCGCCTCAGAATGCCTGAGTTTTGAATCGGTTGGCCTTGCGGCATGCATTGGAGGTCATAGGAGACTATGGGATCCATTGCCGGTATCTTCGCAATGTGACTCCCCCGCCCTTAAGTTCTTCCAATGAAGCTTCTACTGGCTGGGCGAGACCACTTTGATCGGAGACCGTCTCAAAGAAGGCGCCTAATGGCGCCTAGGCCTAGTTCATCGGTCCCACCTCTCTCCATGCTAGCCCTCCCAGCTTATTTTCTAAAGGCTTCCCATCCTGGTCTTGACCCAGGCAGTCAACATGAACAGAAACCTGTTCTCTTGCTCAGACTTCCCACCCCCCACACACACAAAAACAACATGCACTTACTGTAGTGTCCGCTGTCTTGGAGCAAGCCAAATCAGCATCAATCCATTAAACACACATTGAAAACATCCTCCACACATAGCGCAAGCTCATGCAGAATGATGTCAATCCTTTGTGGGGGGTCCGATCCCATCCCAGCAAGGGCTGCGCTTTTCGACTGAGGCGCCACGTAGACCTCCACCCGGATCCGCAAGAGTTCGCCGCCCCAGGGACAGTCACAGCGCCAAAGACTGCTTCGGGAGGAATCCATGAGAGGCTCCCAACCTGGCGAGAGAACAGGTGAAAGATACGCCTAGCACTGCTGGTGCGAAATCCGGAAACTGTTACCTGGAGTTAGTCTAGAGGGAGAGGGAGAGAGAGAGAGAGAGATTATAGACAGATGGATAGATAGGTAGATGGATGGGATGGGATGGGATGGAATGGAATGGAAAATGGATGGATGCATGGATGGATGGTCGATTGATTGACAGAAGTATCTCCTACGATTGAATTGGAATGGTCGGCAATGAAATCAGGGTTTCCTTGAGCCACCAGCCCCTCAACCATCTGGGAAGTCTGAGGAATTCTCGTGTTTTTAAAGTCTGCTCCTGGATTTGACTAACGGTGACTTACGCGCATGCGCCCCACGCTGCGCCTTCTTCCCAAATCAGGTGTGGCACCTGCTGAAACCATTCTTCCACACGGCACGGGGTGGCCATGTCCAGTCGCCGCTACCCGAGTGGCCAACCAGGACGCTAAACAAAACAAAACAAAAAAAGGCGTTGAGCCACTGCAGGCGATTGGCGGACGCACGTGTGTTTTCAACATGTACCAACGTGTTTGACTTCTTTTCATGGCTTGGATCTCATACGCCAGCCGCACTGAGGGTCCTGCAGCTCAGAACATCTCTGTTTGGCCTCCTCCACCGTGAGGGTCGCATCCTGGGCTCTGTCGATGGGACAAAGGCAAATGTGAAGCATTCACCTACCGGACCTACCGACTCCCTGGTATACCGACCCACCAGTAGAATACAAGAAATATGAAGAAATGACAAGTTAATATGTATTCTAAACATTTCTAAACATATTATGGACGTCGATTTTAGTTGACTGACCTTCTTCAAAGCTGTAGTCCATGTCAATCCAAGATACTTGCAGGGTACCGCGTGCAGATATGTAGCCTGGGTGGATGGAAGAAACGCAAACACGACACCAAGCGCGGCAACGAGCGAGCTCTCATGCCAGAAGCGAGACAACTGTGGCCCCCGACCGCGGTGCCGTGTGAAGACAGGTCCCATGGAGAGGCTCTCATCCATGCTAACGGCCTGAGCGAAGGCGGGACTTTGAAATCTGATCCTTCAGATCCTAGTAGCGTGCGATGGCGTCCACCTAATAGCGTCCCTGCTACCAGTAGCGATGCCAATTGTTGATGTGAAGGCCCGGGAGCCAGGCTGAGGTTAGGCAATGGAGGAGGTCAGGGAAGGTGGTAACCAGGGCGATGAAAGCGGCCTTGGATTCGTCAGCATCAAAGCAAAACAACATTGATTCATTAAATTATGAAATCACAGAATACTTAAGATGATGCCAGTAGTGCATAAAGGAAAGACCGGCATCACCAGCATATTGAAACATTATTTTGCGTACACTTACGAAGCAGTGTGACAACAATCCATTTTCCAAACTTAACATGGGTGCAAATCTGTCCACTTGATGATTTTTTTCAACATGCAAGATCACCCACGCACGAAGGCATCCGCTCAGCCATGCTACAAGGCCGGCATAAATACCTCAGGTGCCAGGCATGCAGCAACCTTATGTTCATGCTCTTGCTTGGATTGACCCCTACCAATTTTACAAGCAATGCTTCCAAAATGGCATTTAGTTCTTGGTGCCTTCAGAACATTTCCTTGTCAACACGAAAATCTGTAGGTGTTGCTCGACATCCCTTAAGACAAAGTGCGTGCCACGGCAATTGCCAATATGCAATTGGTGTTGAAGAGCCTGATTTTGTATTATTGGATGATTTATATTTCTGCGCCTACATTTATGAGGTGTCCTTTGATTCTAGCCCAAAGTGAACTCGAGGTTTTAAACCCATATTTTCCTGGTGCTGTGTCCAACATAATGTAAGATGCAAAGAGTAGAAGAAACGCACAGAATGAGAACCACGAGCAATGTCCCAGCCTGTGGCTCCAATGTGGGTTACAGCCCTTCACTCTCGATGAGCTCTTAGGACTTCCTTAAGTGTTTTTAATCTTGGTGAAAAAGGGTCCAGAACAGCGTTGTTTTGACGGTGCAGCATCTTTGGCAATAGTTTCCTCATGGTTCCTCAATCGTGAGATGATGTGGTGGATATATCCAGGCGATCCCACGAAACCTGGTTGCTTTCGACACTTGTATGGCGGCTTCTTTGATGAGACAGTGTCAAAGGGAATTGTTGAGAAAACCTTCTTCACGGCGCACATTGCATTTGCACGTGCATACTGCATACATAACATTTCTTTCAGCAAAGGTTTGCCAAGTCGTCTCCACCACTCCTCAGCAACAGAGTCTCCGATGCTTTCCGGCATGCATTTCGCATGGCCTAACAGAAAGAAACACCAAGGCCGAGGCCAAGTGCTTTTCAGCCCAAGTGCCAATGAGCGTAAAGTACTTGTGGTTGAAGACTCCAACACCTGGGTCTCGTCGCATTGCGCATGCGACCGCATGCGACTCCACTGTAATGGAAGGACCGTCTCAGAGGAGGGGCTTAGTTTCTAGTTAATTCTTGTTTCTAATAGCTTCTAGTTACTACTATATAGTAAGGCACTTGTTACTAGTAGCGATGCACTTGTTCCTAGTAGCTTCCTACACCCGTCTTGGGGTTCTATGTGTTCATGATGTTTGATGGTGTGCAATGGCATAGCGCTGGGGCATAGACCAATGCACAACATACGACCATTCCATCTAGTGCTGAGCCACTCCTTTGCGGTTTCTTTTTGAACCTTTCTTCATAAGGCTATTCAAGGTTTTTGCGGTTTGTAGTGGTGCACTTCAGGCCTGACGCTCAGACACATGAGACACATGTTGCTCATACACCTGGGTGTCTTCTCACCTCACAGCTTGGTTTTTATCACTATGCGTGGACGAGGTTGACATTGGTTGCTAATAATATTAATGTCCAGCACTCAACCAACCCCTTGCTCCCAAAATCTAGTGGTCAGGCGTGAGGTTTAGTCCCGGCGACCCAATGTTCCCTTACGATGCTACCTTGTCTAAGATGCAACCTTGTCTATATAGTTGGATTGCACCATATAGTAGCATGCAGTCGTTCAGTACGCTCAGCATGCTAAACAAGGATGCCAAGGCGTGTGCCTAAGTCTTTCAACCTGGCTTCATGCACCGAACACACCCATGAGGTGCGTGACCTGGTGTCTGTTTCACTTCGACTTTTGACGCCCATTTTGATTGATTTCGTCGAGCTGTTCAGTTTTTGTTTGCACTTCTTATTAACGCAATGTTTCAATCTTGGTTTCCAATTGCCATCACCCTGACCCACTTTCTTGGCTCCGATTGCTTGTCTATGCAATCTTGCAAAAAGCTGACGCGACTAGATCAAAGCTTCTCGCCAAACATAAAACATAAATGCACTTATGAAGCATCATATTGGACATTCGTGGAAGGCCCCTGCCATTTACATCCATGTGCAACATAATCTTCGGCTTAAGAAACCCGACTGGTGAGCTGAATGAATTGAGACACTGTTTAACTGTCTCCAGTGAGTGTGGTGCTAAAATGCGTCCTTGGTATAATTGCATTGACACCTGCTGCCTTCTCCCAACAAAGTCACCTTGCATATTTGTGAAAATGGGTTTAGCTCTGCACAAGCAGAACAAACTGGACATATAATTGTGTAGTCGTTGGCACTTGAGACCACGAAAACCTATTGCCATCATGCCAAGCTGCAGCTGGTACAATGTCAAAATGATTGTCATTGTCAGCCCCCAGCGGTGCGAAATTCAACGACTACTTTACTGCTGTGCTGATAAGCTGTGGAAGTACCGAACGCAGCGATTACGACCAAACCTTCGTCATGAAAATCATCACCCAAAAGCCCGAAAGCACCCAACAGCCTGAACAAATCATCCATCTAATGGACTTAAAGCTTTAACATGTCTCGACTCGACCAAACTTTAACACCCCCATAAGCCCACCCTGAAACAACCGACGACCATTGACAGCATACATGCCATACCATACCATACCCTACCATACCATCATATTTTGCATACATACTCAAGCAGTGTTTGGTGGGGGTCATGCTGCAAGGAAGCTCAAGATTCAAGGATCACAAGGTCACAAGGTTGCTTGCAAAATCGAACAGAACACATCTCAACATCAAAGGATGCACGGCCTCTTTCGTGATGCGGACGGGATATGCACGGCCGATGCACGGCCGCAGACCAACAAATTCCATTTGCCGGCCATCCGTTTGGGTTTGGGTACACCAATCCCACCCAGCGCCCGTCACCTGGACCTGGTGCTGCATCGGGGCACAATTGTTCATCCAAGGGCAATGGTGATCCATTCTCCTTGGCCCAAAGGCGAATGGATTAGGCGAACCAAAGGGCGTACAGAAAAAAACGCAACCATAGCATGACCCCTTCTGCAAGGTGCTTTAGAAAACCCTAATCCCGAGATTCCGTGATTCCATGACCAAGTATTTGGTTTCCTGGCCCATGTTTCATGGAGATTTGTGAGTGCAGCCGCAGCTCAACACACATCTCCGGCAGAAATGGCAATGATGCGCCCGTTCTGGTCGGATGATGTTGCACTTCCGGCACCGGGTGGCCTCTGGGAGAAGTGCACAGCGGAGCACTGGGATGAAGGAACCGCAATGCAAGCTCTGGGAGTGAGCACGCATGAAGGAGCTCAAAGGAGTTGACTAGGATTTCGGACCCTTTTGAAGGGAATTTTGCAATTGGGGCTTGTTATTAATTGAATTTGTTGAAACGCCCGTTCAACAAAAAAATCAACACAGGACAATTATCCAAGTGAAATTGGTTCGGCTCTGTTTAATTCTGCTTCTGTGGGGCGATGCATCGGCTTCCCGTAGCATTTCAATGCCAAAGAACTGTGGAACAGCGGGAGCCTTCTCCTCAACTAGCAGGTGAACTCTACTCTGCTCCTGCATCACCCCTCACCTATACGCGTCATGTATTGGTGTCAGCCCAAACTGGATAATTAATTTTCATCACCAACATGATCCAATTACTTTTAAGTTCGCACATGTTCGCACATTTTGCCCAATCTGTTCTAGACGGTCTCACAGGAGGTAATGAACCCTCCTTACATAGGTTTAACGGTTTAACGTCCTGATTTCCTAGAACATGTTCCACCATACTCATCGCGCCTTGCCCGGTTGCCACTCTTGTCTGGGATTGGCCACCGGCAAGTACCGGTCATACTTCTTGACGAAGCTGATCCACCTGTCCTTGGAGAATTCCGTCCCAGGAGACGGACGGGACCGCGTCAGAACGGACTGGCACAGGACTGGCAAGCCAACCCACGTCATAAGCATCATAAGCCACCCTACGTGGCATTTGCTCTCTTCCTGCTTCCCTGCCCAAAGTAAAGTGCAGCGCGAGCCAAGCATGCAGCGTCCTCTATATATTATGGGAAGGGTGGATGATAGGTGTACGGTGTAGGGCCTTCCTCATCTTTCATTCCGAATCATCGGG